AATGGAATGGGAAATGTGAAAAATCTAGTTTAAAAATTTTAAAACTAGAACTGGGCAGGGGTGGAGTGGCACAGAGAAAGTCCTCATCTGCTGTGCTGCCTGGAGCTGAAACTGGGAAGAAAAGATATGACCAGCTTGAGCATCTGGAAGGGATTCTGTAGCCTGGACTTTATGTAGCAGTCACCAAAGTTTACTGAGGCATTTAGCCAAGTATATATGTTTTTACCTGTAGTTGACCAACCTGCTGATGAGAAGTAGAGTTTGAAGGCTCCAGAAGCAGAGTGTGACCCTATTGGAAAAATTTTGCCATGGGCATCCCTCAAGAATTCCTCATTCCCACCTCTGGCCGCCCCAGAGATAGGCTGTGTTCCTCCTTGGACTGTTAACCTTTCAACCATGCCTTCCGTAGTGTCTTTGCTCCCCTTCAGACACAGTGTCCATCTCAATCTTGAGGTGCACCAGCACCTTCTGTAGAATGATCTTCAGTGTTATGTGTTGCTCCTTAGTTGCAACAAAGTGGGAACAAAATGGTAGGAGAGGTGCAGGTGTTGCAGGCCCTCTCCTCAGTGGAACTGAGGGAGGAGTGTAAAGCAAGTTATTTGGCCTTGGATTTCCTGCAAAGGTTACAGCACACTACTCTGCCCCCTGCAGCTGTTTTCTGCAGCTGGGAAGTGTTCAAGGATGGAGCATTCTGAAAATGGCTCATCTGGGTTAGAGAATAGGTTAGGGTCAAGGTGAAGCCAGGCTTTAACAGCATAGTCTGGTACTGGGAGGTTACTTCTATGGCAGGATCATCACTGTGCTGAGGAGACATCGTTCACCCGTACCCATGGATCTTGGGGCAGGCCAGGCATTTGGACAGGCAGCGATAGATCAAAACATTTGTGTTAAGTAGCAGGAGAAGAAAGTGGTTGCTGTGATAATGTCAATCCTTCTTTACTTTTTTATTCTGAATAAAATAGTAGGTAAGGAATATCCTCCTGGCTCAATGTATTACTGGATGTGTACAGTGGGTGTTTTGTTAGTGTTACAAGTGTGCTCCATGCTCTGCTACTTGCCTGGATGGAGGAATAATACCAGTTCACGTGGTTCAGAGAATACGCAAAGCACTATGAGCCTCCATTTCCCTCCCCTTCTCCTTTAGTCCAGTAGTTTGCTTATGTCCCCATTTTTCAGATTCATGAAACACCTTGTTATGAAATCAGTATTTGTTTAGAAATAGGAATCTGATGACACAAAACCTCTGGGGTGTTTTTTTCCTGTGCTGGGTTTATCACCTAGAACTCATTTCCTGACTGTGAACTAAATACTGAAAGCAGGAATGAAAGTTGGACTTTGCCCATTTTTTTTAATGGTGATCAGGTTATCAGTGCCACCTGTGAAGGAGAGGGCTCAAGGAGATTTATGTAGATGTGTCTTTCCAGTCTCCTGAAGTCAGAGGGACAAAACTTCCTTTTTATATTGTTTCAGTGATGAGAAATAAATGATCTTGGCCAGCTTAATAGGAAGATAAGTAACAAACCAACAAGCAAAACTTGTAATGTCATAGAGCTTCTTTCACTGGAATCAAATTAATTTTAGGTAATTTTAATGCTGTATTAAAAATAGAGAGTGCTGGTATTATCTTAGAGTAGGAAAGGTGGAGGTGGTGTTGAGGAGAAGTGAGCAAGTTAAACAAAGTTACTATATGAAAAGAACAAAGGTGGAGGAAAGAAGAGACAGTATGGAAACACTGCAGGTGGTGGAACTTGTGTAAAAGAATGCAACCGGAGAATTTGATGTAATGGAAAACTTCCTTTTAATGGATCAGGAGTCTTTAAAAGGCACTTTCCCAAAGATAATATCTTTCCTAGGGATTTGTTTTAATTGCTACTTCTGAAAAGAATACTTCATTGAAGAGGCTTAGTGGTAAGCATTATTTGACTAGCTTGGGTTTTTTTCCTGCTTCGTATTAGTATCTTCACATGCATTGTCATTTCTTACTTTCACAAAAAGTTTATACTCAAATTATTTTTACATGTCTTTCATGCTAGCATCTCTCCATGCTGATTCCGTGCAATGCTGCAGGTTTGGAGAAGACTGGCTGGAAAGCTGGCAAAAAAAGGCCTGGGGGTGTTGGTCAAAGGCAGCAGAACATGAGCCAGCATGTGCTGAGGTGGGCAAGAAGGCCAATGACATCCTGGGCTGTATCAGAAACGGTGTGACCAGCAGGACCAGGGCAGTGATTGTCCCTCTGTACTCGGCACTGGTGAGGCCACACCTCAAATCCTGTGTTCAGTTTTGGGCCCCTCATGACAAGAAAGATATTGAGGTGCTGGAGCATGTCCAGAGAAGGGCAACGGAGCTGGGGAAGGGTCTGGAGCACAAGTCTGATGAGGAGCAGCTGAGGGACTTGGGGTATTCAACCTGGAGAAGAGGAGGCTCAGGGGAGGCGTTACTGCTCTCTACATCTCCCTGAATGGAGGTTGTAGCCAGGTGGGGTTTGGTCTCTTCTCCCTGGTAACAAGTGACAGATGAGCAGAAATAGCCTCAGGTTGCACCAGGGGATGTTTAGCATGGATATTAAGAAAAAATTCTTCACAGAAAAGGTGGTCAGGCACTGGAATAGGCTGCTCAGGGAAGTGGTGGAGTCACCATCCCTGAAAGTGTTCATAAAACATGTGGATGTGGCAGTTATGGACATGGTTTAATGGTGAACCTGGTGGTCGTGCTGTGTTGACAGTTAAACGTGATGATCTTAGAGGTCTTTTCCAACCTTAATGATTCTGTGACTCCAGTATAGAAAAACACATCTTGAAGTCATATCACCTTACATGTGATACTTTACACACTTTATAAGTAGCTTTACAGTAAGAATAAATTCTAGGGAGAAAGGTTGGGGTTTTTTTTCATTTGTTTCAAATTAACTGAGCACCAAAATATTTTTAAAAATAAATGTAAAATTGCCAAACTTACGTATGGATGGAATTTTCCCCATTAGCTGTTACTGAGGTTTTACTGTCAACAGGTGAGAAGTTCACATCAAAGTGAACATCGTGTTCTCAAGACAAAAATTTCATCTGCAGGTTGGACATTATTTTTGCTGCATTTTGGTGGAGGGAGGATGGAAAACAGGTGTATGGAAGTCAGTTGTGACTCGGGTGGGAGGAGGAGAGGCTCACCCAGGGATGAGACTTCATCCTGTCTAAATGATGAGTGCGCTATTCCCTCTGGGAATGCATTGCACTGACATTGCAATGGCTGATGAGCCCATCCTTACAGCAGTTGTTCTTTTTATAGTAGATTGAAGAATATTCTTAATTAGCTCCCTTATATGGCTGGAATAATTTCCTTGTTCTAAAATATCTGATCTCTTTTTCATAGTAGAAGGGGAATGCCCTTGAAAATCTTTTCAGTTCTGAATTAAATGCGTCAACTGATATTAACAGTTCCAAACTAACCAGGTATAGTAAGTGATAATGGTTGTAGTGTTATTTTATGCACTTTCCTTCGATATTTAAAAGAATTTTCTTTTTGTTTATTTTTCTTATCTTGGATACAGAAAAATAAACAAAATGAAAGTTTAATGTATAGAAATCAAGTAAATTTTTACATATTTATGTTTAAATACATTGAGCAACAAATGTAATTTTAGTATTTCTCAGTTTCTTGATATTAGCAAAACATTTATTTGTGCATTCAAACTTTTATGTTAATTATACTATTTTTGGTAGAATAAGATCTATTTTTTTAATCTTGGAGGATAGTCAATAAAGATATGAACGACCAGATCCGAACTTGAGTCATGACAAAAATATTCTATGAGTGAACGTGAAATCTTGCTTCGGGTTGTTAATGTTCTGCGAACTGTTGACAACAATATTAGACAGCATTACCAAATTTTGGAAGAAATTCTAGCATTAGATAAATCATACAGTTCTTTTGTTTTCTGTTTTGCTAGGGTTTCATGAAGAAGAAAATAATGTGGAAGTTTTAAACTTGATGGAAAGAAGTTAGTGCTTTGTACTTAAAGTCTCTTTGAAGGTTTTGTTTTCCTGTAATCTTTTTGAGTAAGAGGTAGCACAAATATTCAGACAAACTAATTTGAAATAAAACTTATTGTAATGTGCATTTTTCTAATTTGCACTGTAGGATTTCCCTTAGTGAAATATGTAGTGACAGTTTCTGTGCAACTTAGTGTTTTTTCTGAATTTATTAGCAGTAAACACTACTTTATTAGCACTAATCTTCTAAGTCTGGAATTGAAATGGAGTTGTCATTTAGTGGATGTTATTAGCTGTGTTTTTTTAAAACCAGTAGTTATGATTTCCAGGGTTTAAAGAAACACCTGTATGAAAACCCTGTATTAATGTTGCCCAAGTGAATTTAATGTAGGAATAGAAACAATAAAGTGCTGAGAATTAATGGGAAACAAGAAAATTACTTCAGAATTGTTTAACTCAAAAGTGGTTATCTACCTGATGTATCATAATCTTTGTGAGTAAAGGTGTTAAGGATTTAAGTTCTCTAATCCTTGCTTCTTAAACTCAAGGTATTATTAGAGATAATGTTTAATTTCATTAATTGTCAAATGTTTCTTTAATCTTAGGAGTAAATCCTTCTGTTTTAAAAAGTATTTTTGGTCAGTAGTCTGCTTTTAATACTTTTCTTTCTGTCCATTCTCCAGCAAGATCAAATGAGTAGGTTTTACTAAAATATTTATCACTCCGCAGTGATATGTGGTGAGCATAGTTTTATCTGAAACTGTATGGATTTTTTACTTCTAGTCACAGAAATAATGAACTGTGTGTACCAGGAAAGCTGAAGTAATGAAACTGTTTCCATGCAGTTTCATTCGAGGAGCTGTGAATCACACACTGACAATGCATCTGTTATTCTTTTCTACTTTCTTGTGCCTGGCCTTGTTAACAGAATTTGATACTGATGTTTTTCACGTGTTTGGTGGCTTTAGGTAGATGTCACAGAGCTGATCAGATAAGCTTACAGTGCTGCAGAGCCCTCACGGGAACTGCTGCTATGGGAGTGTGAGAGAGCAAATTTCTGATCAAGGAGAGTTCCCAGGGAGTAAAATCATATCCAGGATGAGGCAATATGTGCAAGTTCCAACTGTTGAGCAAGAAAAAGCCTATGATTATAATTCTGCTTTTGAACCGAGACCGTGTATGTGTTTGGGTAGGTGAAATTACCATTTTCTGATAGCGGGGACTGTGTCTTGCTGCTGCTTTGTAGAATAAATGTGTGTCACAAGAACTGCCCGTACAGCTGGTAAATGTGTACAGTCTTAACATGTACAATGCAGGTTATAGGACTCCTTCGGCAGGAGAGAACATGCATGTTTTAACTTGGAAAATCCCACTATTGGAAAAGTAAACAATGAGTATTTTTTAATCCTTTCATGTTGACTCTTACATAGCAATGTGAACTTCTATAGATACTGCTTAAACCTTTATGTTTACTGGTATAATATGATGTAAAGATGTCTGCAAGGGCGAGATGATTAAAATGCAAATTTTGCCTGACACTGAAAAGGACTTTTCCTCAATAAACCTGCATAAAATGGAACAGGTTCTTTTTACCTGACTTAGTGACTGTGTTCTGTAGACCTACAAAACAGCTTATTTGTGTGAAACAAACATGTTTATTTGGATAAATTTTTATCTGGGTTAAATTGCTATCCAAGATGTAGAGAATCCGTTTTCAATTGCTCAGTTTCTCTACATCTTTGCAACATTCATCTTTCCTGATCTATGTAGAAAAATGTTCCCAGATTTTATGTGTTATTTATGAGTTCAGTCTATTTTTAATGTATGTTGTTACAACATGATTTTTGTGGGATTGTGTTTCGTTGTCTTTTTATATTCATACATTCTTTAAACCTATTCCTACAATTTTATTAATCTTTCATGGTTATGTTAAAATGATGTAACTGAGCAATGATCAATAGTTTTCCCACAAAATCTGTGTTATGACTGTTAATTGTTTGGTTTTTGCTTTTGGTTTTCATTTTTTTCTGTGTTCTTTGGAGTGCCTGTCAGTTTTATTTCTGATATTGTTCTGCTTATATTTCTCTACTGAAAATATCTTTGGAGTCTGAAAGCCTTGATAGATTAACTCTCATTTGCTGATACTCGAATGTTCTGTTTAATTTAGGCAGTTCTTTTAGTGAGATTAACATCCATATTACTTTTAGATTTATACTTTGCTGACAGAAAATTTTTGACAAGTTTGTGGTTTTTTTCCATGTAAACTGTTCTATAATTAAATACATAACAATGTGAAGACACTATTGAAAATCTAAGATGAGGAGAAGAGAAAATTTTAGATCTTACTCAGTATACTTATTGCTAGGCCTTTTCTTGTATCAAAATGCACTATGTATCATAAATTTGAAGAGCAGTGTTTCAACAATATTGAGTTTCCATTAACTGAAACCACCTGGTAAGGGGGCCAGAATAAGTTGCTACTGTTATCTGATATTTTTTTATCCATTTCAAAGGAGTAACAGTATCCAGGTTTTATGTTAAATTTATGATGGGTTTAAAACGCCATTTTAAGATTTAAATTGTGGTTCTTTGCAAAGATTTTTTTCTTCTATCACTTAGAGAAACTAATTATAAATGTATTTTTAATTGCCTCTGTCTTGCATGCAATATTTTAAAAGATTTTCTTGTTCTTTTTGTAGTTTGGGTAGTTATATCAAAATATGTTACTACAGTTAGTGTAAGAATGTTTTTCTATACTTAATAGTCATCTAATGCTGTTTACTCTGGACCAGAGTTAGAGGTCAACTATAAGGTAGAAAATCAAGTAGGAAGACCAGGTACAAAGAATGTTGAGCCAGGTGCAGAGTTGCATACCTAACTCAAGAAATATTTAACTATATTAGGTCTTGTTTTGGTGGATTTTGATGGTCTTACTGGAGTTTCCCAATATGGAGTGATATACTAGACACTAAGAAAGTGTTCCTTCCTTATTATGATTTTACTTACTTTTAAAATGTTGCACAGCCTTGCTCTCAGTAGAATATTTTTGTAGAACTGTGAATTATTTCAATTTTAAGTCAAGTAGGTTTTTAATCTGTTTTAATACCTACATTTTCGAATTGCATATGAAAGAACTTTGATTTTAGCTGCTTCTTACCTGCAGCTTTTATGTAAATGTCTATTTTTACATTGGTTAGACCTCGGTGAGTAGGACATGTCAGCAGGAGTCATATGAAGAACTTGACAGTAGTAACAAAGCACTATTTAACACAAAAATTCTCAATATTCCAGTCATTTATTCCTTAAATGCTTTTTGTTTTCGTAGTTACTAACTGAAGTTATAAGTCAGTGTTGATCTTACTGGTGGTACCGGATTCTCTAATTCATGAGCTGGGGAGAGTTCAAGACCACTGGGGAGAACTTTGAGTTAATGTATGGCTTTAAAATCACAGATCTGTCTTTGATAATAGTTTTTATTTAAATAATTGCAAGCATTAAGTTGTCAGAGTATGAGCAGAATACATTTTTGTCCAAAAGACAAATAGCTTCAATAAACAGGTGGAATAGAGGGAGAATGTCTACTCCTGTAGAGACTTGTAATAAAAACAAGTACAGCAGGGGAAGTCTTTGTCATGAATCTCCCAGATGTTATGATAAATATGGTTAAAAACAATTAAGGTTACTTAGATATCTTAAGTAAAAAAAATACAGGTCCTAATATATTTGTCTAATGCTACTTCACAGCCTGAAAAATTTGCAGATAATCATCAAAGTTTCTGCCAGTATACGCTTTATCGTGTTGCAGTTTTTACTATTTTTAGCAAAGCGTATAATGGTTTTTTGGAGTATGGAAATGGATACCTTTAATATGGTATTTAGCTACTCTGAATCCTTCAGGAGTTGAGACTTGAAAGACCAAAAAGCCACTGATCTGCATGTACTTGATATATTATTATTGAGTGTATTATTGTTTACTTAGTGGCTCTTATGCATTAGAGCTGCTTTAGTGTTGATCTGAGGCCGGACCAGTGAGTTAGTCTGATAATATGTCCACTGAAACATTTAAAACCTTATTTTCAAAAAATTCCAAAAAGAGTTGGGAATAAATGTATCCTGATAAAACAGTTGGGCAGATATTTAGGAATTTTTTTTTAATTTTATTTTTGTGCTGAGTTTTAACTTAATTCCAAGGTTCTAGTAGCCCTGAGTACTAGAAAAAAACCCAGTCAATGCTTTGTAGGTTTATCTTTTTAGAACAGGCATATGACTTTTAAAATTAATAAAATTGAAGTTACATGCGTTGTTCTGATTATATGAGTGCAGGATTAGTACTCATAGAAGTAGAAATGAAATCAAAAAATGCCTTTCTCCACTTCCAAGTGACTGTCTTCTCACTGATGCCCAGTTAAAGGCAGGATAAGGGATAAGGAAGGCAGAGCTTGTTTTGTGTATTATGGTTTACATTGGTTTATACGGGTGCTTGTAAAACAGAAGACTTCATAGTTGATTTCTTTTTTAGAAGAATGAACATAATGCACATTTTGATGTTTTGGAATAGTAATTCAGAAGGAAGATAAAACAGCAACTAAAGTAGCTTTGGTTAATATGACTAAATTTTAAAATGTCTTGATTTTTCTGCGTGTTTTTAAGTATGGCTGGATGGCAGGTGCATTTCTAGTACCCAAGTTGCTTGCATATTTTCTCACATTTTCTGTGATAGCAGTTCTGCTTATTTGACTTTTTTGTGCTAATTTTCAGTTACATTGATTCTGCCTTATTGCTGAGGGTGACAAGCAGCTGAATTCAGTATATCTTTTTCCTCTGTGCTTGTCAGCTTGTCCCTTCAAATGAGTCCCTAAAACTGCATTCTAAATCCCGTTGTGTAATTCCCTCTGCAGGAGTTTGCTGTTGCTGTGCTGCGCTAAGACCTCGCTACAAGCGTCTGGTGGATAACATATTTCCTGAAGATCCAAAAGTGAGTGATGACTTTAAAATTTTAAGGGATTGGTGTTTGGAAATTCTTGGTTATAGCTAATGCTTTAGCAATTTTTTAATTTTTTCTTTTCTCTTTTAACATTTTACAGTTAAATTCTGCTTTAGCTCTTCATAGCTTTAACAGAGGTTAGAGGAATAATTTAGCTGGAAAGGGACATATACAGATCATCTTGTCTAATTCCCTTTTCAAAGCGGGGCTGTTCATTGAAGAATAAAATTAGTATGTTTTGCTCAGAGAAACAGAGATTTAATTCAACAAGGTATTCTGCTACAGAGGTAGCACTTAACTTCATAAGTACTTTGAACGACAAGCACTTGCTTTGGTGTGGTTCCACGTGTGAACATTTTCTGGTTTTCTACAGGATTTTTTTTTAGTTCTTGACTTACTGATTTCATAGTTCAGGTAGGCTGTTGTGACCCAAAAGGTGGTTTTGGTGGTGTCTTTTAAATTCTCCAGTTACTCGTGTACAATTTTTTCTTTGCATTTCACTGCAACAGTCTTGGAGCTCTATTAAAATTTAACTCTTACACTGTGTGTTATTTATTTTAATAACTTGTGTTACCATTTGGCAATGCCTATTTCTATACATAATCATGTGACAGTTTAGACTGATCAAGAGCTTATGCTTCTGCTGCTGTATTTTTTTAAATGTGTTACCAGTTTTTTTCATCTTTTGTTATAGTTTAAGCAGAACAGTCAGCGTTTCTATAATATTTGGCTTATGTGTTGCAAAGTGCTTGGGCTTTTCTTTAAAATATGTTGTTACTGAGTGCTAGTTACTGCATGTTACTGGCTTTAGTAGAAATGTTTTCTGTGTATACAGTATATTGCATGCACGGAGCAATGTGATTTTATAGGTTTATTTGTTCTCATCTACTCTTTCTATACAGATGTAGAAACACCTGGAATTGCTACAGTTTTAATGTTATGGCTTAAATCTCACGCAGGAGCTCTGAGTTGGCACTTCTTAGTCTCTGCTTTGGTTAATATTCATCGGTTCATTGCAGGACACAGGCCAGTCCATGATGTTTCGCTGAGTTGCAGGACTTCTCCAAAGTATGAGAAGACTTGTTGATAAAATACATTAATTTGAAAAAGAGAATGTTTTTATGAACTTCCAGGGAAAAAATAAAAAAAGATAAAAAGACAAAAAAGCCTTATCTTGCTTACCTGATAGTTATGATTATAACTTCATCTGAGCAGATCCATGTTACAGTTCATGTTGGAACTAATTTGTTAATCTTTTATCTTTTTCTAACAAATAGCTTTTGGGTACCCTGTAGGTCAGCGTTATTCAAGATGTGACACTGAAGAAATAAGATGTTTAAACTACAATCTAAAATATTTAAACTACAACCTTGTTTGTATGTAGTGTCAAAATTATGCATCAAATAAACTTTTGGGGGGATGGGAAAAGAAAAAAATTACATTATGCCAATAGGGAAGAAATGTGTCTTAGAACTGGTGACATCTCTCACTAAATACCTTCTTTTAGAATACCCATTCCCTCACCAAAAAGGAGGAGGAAGATAGTTGCTTCATTTCCTTAAAAAATATTTTACATAATTTTTTTAAGTTGCTGATTTTTTGCAGCTGAGCTAACAGCAGTTTTGCTCAAAAGACTGGGGTTTTTTTGGTAGCTTATTCCTATCAGTAAGGTTTGAATCTTTAAATGTTGAGTAGACAAAAGGAAAAACTCTTCAAAAGCTTCATACTTTCTGTGAACTTTTTTATTTTATAATTTGTGTTTCTGCTTTTAGGATGGTCTTGTTAAAGCCGACATGGAGAAGCTGACTTTCTATGCAGTTTCTGCACCAGAAAAGCTGGATCGAATTGGAGCTTACCTGGCAGAGAGACTGAGCAGGGATGTCGTCAGACACCGCTATGGGTGAGGAGAGAGGTCACAGCATTGAAAAGAGATGCTTATATGTCATGGGATTTCGTCATGTTTGTTCTGATCAAGTCTGGAAGGCAAGACAGAACCAGTCCCTCTTTGGTCAGTTAACCTTTTCAGGCTGGCAGGTGCCCACCCAGCTGCTCTCACTCCTCCTACTCAGCCAGACGGGAGAAAATAAAATGCAAAGCTCATGGGTCAGGTCCTGCCAGAAAAGCTGCTCCTGCATGGGCCCCTCTCCATGGACTCTGCCAGGAGCCTGTTCCAGCACGGCCTTTCCATGGGCAGCAGCTTCTTTTGGGACACATCCAGCTGCTCCAGCTTGGGGTCCTCCATGGTCTGCAGCATGGATATCTGCTTACTCTGGGCACTACCAGTGTCCCTGAGGGACTCAGTTTTGGGAACTGGTGGGTCCATCTTGGAGCTTGGCTGGAGCTCTGTCTGACATGATGGGCAGTTCCTGGTGTTTTCTCACGGAAACCACCCCTGCAGCCCCTCACTGCCAAAACCTTGCCATGTAAGCCCAGTACATCCTTGAATGTAAGTCAGGATATAGGGAAGCAGGAATATATTTTTTTTCAGGCCTTTTTGCTGAATCATGTTTAAGTGGGAATGTTGAATCAAACAAGTGTCAGGAGTTGAAAAAGAAGGGCAACATCCATCACAGACCATCATTTTTTGGCCTTCATGATGTTCAAAATTATTTTTATAGCTTTATAGAAAGCGTGAATGGCCAACACTCAATTCCTCACTTCCCATCCCCAAAAAGAAAAATTATGGATGTCAGAAATAGCACTAAGTTTCATTTTTATACAGTGGGAAATACGTACCTTCCGTTCTTTTCTAATTTTTGTGGTAATAAGGACCTAAATAAGGAACTAATGGAGGTAATGATAAACGCAATATGTCTTTATGCAAGTCTCTCTAATTAATTTTCAGTTATGTCCTGATTGCCATGGAGGCACTGGACCAACTTCTGATGGCTTGTCATTCTCAAAGCATAAAACCATTTGTGGAAAGTTTCCTTCATATGGTGGCCAAGCTTCTGGAATCAGGCGAACCAAAGCTGCAAGTCCTTGGAACTAATTCTGTGAGTAAGCTCAGACACTAAATCAAATCAGAGTAAACCTTTGCATGGGAAAGTAGTTTCAGAAGTCATAAAGTGTCTGCCAGTTCACATGAATTTAGAAGATTCTGTCTGTGGCAGGGTGTACCACTTGGGCCTAAACACAGAGCAAATAGCAGCTGGAGGCAGATAAACTGTCTCCTTTCAATGTCTCAAATGCTTTTGATGTCTGGGCTCATTCCCTGCAGAAGTGACTTCTGGAAGGAATATTCTGGAAAGAATGCTGTTCTGTGAGTTCATATTTTGAGTCTTCAAGCAGCTCTCCTGGAACTAGTGTATAGGTGAGACAGTGTTTGCCTCTCCAGCAGCAAGAGTGATGGTGTGAGGAGAATGTAACATCCTTCTGCCCAGCATTGACACTACACAGAAAGATTCCTGTTAGCTGAAAAGTAGCTTTCAGAATCAACACCTCACCATCTTATTGGCTTAAATATTTCAGGATTTAGATCCCTGCTTGAAGGGCATATCTAAAAGTGGCAAAATGAAGATTTGGAGATACAGTTTTCCAAATAGAGTGATGGGTGCAATCAGCATTACAGTTCTGTCATACTTCCCTTCTAACTATTGTATTTCCTAGATGGTAAAATAGAAATCTTATAAATTCCAGGATTGTGATGTGGAATGTTTTCACTTAGAGTGTGTAGTGGTTTGAGCCAGGTTTTTCCCCCTGAAGTTAAAAGTGGTAACCCCCAGGGGGTGGTGACCCTTGGGATTAGACCCAATCAGTGCTCCTGCAAAATATAAACATATCTCTCTAGACCGGAAGAGAAACAGTGGTACTTGTTGTTGGAAGAAGAAGTGGCCATGTTGTGGTGAGCCACGAGGAGCTGGGGCTCCGGCCCCTTAGGGGGCTGTGCCCCCCCAGCCCCCGGTTGGGGGGCTGCAGGGACTCAGAACTGGGCTGAGTGCCTGTGGCTAAGAGCTGGGAGAATTTCTCCCGGTAGGCAGCCTTGGGAGACGCTGGGAGCAGACGGAGCAGCAGTAGACACAGCAGCGTCCGAAGAGCAGTGGCAAAGAGCCAACTGATAAGGACCAAAAGGAGCAGCAGAAGCCGGTATGCTGCATGGAAGACACAGAGATGTCTGAGGAGGAAGGAAAGCAGAAAGGCAGCACCTGAAAGAGGACTGAGCCAGCAGCAGGAACAGAGTTTCGGGGTAAGAACTGGACAAACCAAAACCCCCGAACTCCCTAGAGAGACCCCTCCGAGAAAGAGGAGGGGGTGGTGGACTGAGAGGAGTCCTAAAGTGCAGTATGCACTGCAGAGAGGAGCAAGAAGCTCAGACTATCCTGAGAGCTACGCCAGGATGGCCAAGGAATGTGTGTGGAGGGGGTGACCTTGGGCTTCCCCCCTCCTTGCTGCAGCTTCAGAGAAGCAGCCATCTTTGAGTCAGAGCATGGGAGCTCTGCACAGGGGCTTGATTTCCCCTGAGGATACCAGACTGTCACGAAGACCCCGGTGCTTCGTGATATGACCGTGGTGATGCGACCTTGTCTGGGGTTACGTAGTCCACGGAAAGACCCCCGTTTTGAGGACGGAGGGCCGAGGGGCTTGGAGACCCCCTCGTGTGTGCTGGCAGAGAGCCAGCAACTACTACTGCTGCCTAGAAGAGAAGACACAGAGAGCCTGCTGCCTAGAGAGAGACCTGCTGCTCAGAGACTGGAAGGGGTCTTTTCTTCATCTTCTCTCCTGGACTTTTATTTGGAGGGAGAAGAGATTTGGCCCATTGTAAATATTATTATCATGGTAGAGATAGAAATAGAATTAAGATTGTATGCAATGTATTATAGTATAAGTATTTATGTGTATAGTCTTTTGTAATATATTCCTTCCCCCCATATTGAGTCTCGTGTTTTTGTCTGGAAAACCCATCTCACATGGGGTTGAGATGTGGGAGGGGGACTAGGAATCAGATTTGGATTTGAGCTTTTTCCAAACCATGACATTGTTTTTACATGAGTATAGAGTAGTGCTTGCATGGGGTTCTTTATGGATTCAGTAAAACTGTTGGGCTTTTCTTTGGGATTGATTCCCAGTTGGGAGTTGCAGTTCAGGGAGATAGGAGAGTGCAGTAAAGTGATGCTGCTCTGGAGTAGAATTTCTTGATATCACAGAATGCAGAATTTTGGTATGATGTAGGCTAGAAGTGTCCCCTTGTGCTCCAAACTAACAGGGCAGTTTACTGAGAGTAATGAGATATATATCTCATTAAACATGCAAAATGTTATTTATTTATTTATTTATCTTGAAGCCAGGCTACCCTTCTTCTTTTGAATTGTTTGTATAATAATGCCTGGGTGAGGCCTCTTAGGGAAATAGCTTTGGAACTTATTTCCCGGGCTGCCAAATGGCAAGATGTACATCACTTGGCATTTGTTTGAAGTCCCTGGTGGCAAACAGTTACTGCCAACCTCCACTTGGGTGTACAAGACACGTGTCACTTTGAAAGGCATGTTCTTGTACAGAACTCCACCCTAGGGTAATCTGTTTGATATTCCTGTCACTTCCTAAGGGATTTTTTTATGAGCAAAGGAGATTAATGGACTTCCTGAATTAGGAGATAATTTGTGTTTGTCTTTTGTAAAGCTCAGAAACAGAAAATAATTAAGTTTTCCTAAGTAAAATGTGAATTTCTGTGAGGAAAGTGAATCTTTATGGCTCTTCAGCAGTATTCCAAAAACTAATTTTAGGCCAGCTCTGCTAATTTCCCTAGGTGCCTTCTGTAGTTAATGAAGACAAAAGATAGAGTCTTTTTATGTTGACTCAAGAGGAGCAAAGTGTATTGGCACTGACAGCTTGTCTGTTACCAAGGACACTGACCTACTGGATTCTTAAATAACTTTTATTAGGGATGTAGAAAGTTTGCATCAAATTCAGCCTTTTTTCTCTTCTCCAGAAGGAAATAAATAAATAAATAACCCCCCCCCAACAATAATAGATGGTAGAGTGACTGAATAAATGTTTCATGTGCTTTAGATATTCTGATTTACTACTTTGGAGTGGAAACTGCTATTGTTTAGAAGAAAAGACTGAATTGTATGTGAAGTAAATGTCTTTAAATTGGTGAAAAGTCAGGCAACCTTTGGAAAACTTTCCGTAGTATTTTTAGGTTAAACTCAATTTAAGGCCCCTACAAATTTGTAGTCTGCTTGCACATAAAAAGATACAGAGTGTGATTGTGGCTATAAGTAGATCTTGATTTTCCATCCCAGAGCTTCACTGGGATACAAAGGCAGTGGTGTCTTTGAAGTAAGATTCAGATCTCCTTACTTGAGCAGTAGGGTTTTTCAGCATCACAAACAGATTTTGCTTCAGCTGTCGGGACTCTTGTGATTGCTCAGAAGTCAGGATTTCAAATTAAACAAATCTGTGTACAGGGTGTCTCTCAGTAGTTTAAAGGCTTGGAAAGATCTGGAAGCTCAAACTGTCTTCTAAAAGTATTTTGCTGACTTCAAAACATCTGGTTGTGGATGCAGAACTTATTCTACTTGGTGCTTTATGTCTTAGGAAAAAATTCAAACTTTCACTCAGTTGTTTGTCTTCTTAAATTATTTTTGGAATTTAAATTTCATTTTTTAAGTTGATTTACTTATAAAAAGTAAACCTGAAGATTACCATTTTAGATATATAATTGTTTGGGTTTTGTGTACGTACTTTTAAACCTGATCTTCAGGTTACATGTTGTTAATTCCTGTGACTTTTTATGTGTTGCATATATAAGTTTTGCTAGCTTATTTCCTGCAGCAGCAATGATTTTTTTTTTTGGTAACAATTGTAAATCTATTTATATAGGCAGATACTTGAAAACAGGTGAAATTCAATAGTGGATATGTTGAATAGTTGGTTTTTTTTTTTATTTGGACCAGATTTTGAATTGACAGTGTCTGTGAGGTTCAAAATGGCTTTTTCTGTCATGGAAGATATTTTTATTAACCACGTGCTAGGATAGCATATGCTGGTGAAGAAACTGAAAAATCGTGGTGGGAAGAAGTGATATTTCTTTGGCTTAAGTGTTACAGGATCTGAAGACTGATTGCAACAAGCTTTTCCTTAGAAATTTACAGCAATACTAAATTTCTGTCTTTATTTTCCTGTGGAATTTCAGTAACTGAGTATTATGTAAAACATCTCCATCTCTCATGTACTTATCATTAGATGTATTGATTAGGTCCATAGTGTTACATTACTAGGATAGAAGTGAAAAGCTTTGAAGTCTTTGAACTTGTGGTCAAAATTGTTGGGGACAATTATCTAGATCCAATTTATATCTATTTTTAATTTTATGACAATTTTTTTAAAGAAGAGGCAGAAAATTTCTTTAGTGAGCAGCTGGTCAAAACCAATGGGATATGTAATTTAGTAAAAATTTCATCTTAACCATATTGACAAAACTCAGTTGAATATGAAACATTTTAAGCTAATTTTGAATGCTGATGGGGTGAATTCTTTGTATTTTGACAGTAAGGTATTGGGGGTTTTGTCTGAAAAATAGCAGATATATTTTAGATTATTTACCATAAATGCTTTCTTTAGTTGATAGGGTGCTTCATTTTATAAGGGCTGTTTCTTTTTAGGAGCAGTGAAATAATGATCTCATGAGTGACAGTGCTGGGCTTCCTGTGCACGAGGAGGTGACTGTTATTGCTGGTTGTTATCATTTGTTATTTAAAGGAAGACAAGCAGTTTTCCTCCCCCTCGTACATGTGCTCTCTAGTTTTGCTGTTCTGTAGCCCCACTAACGTAGCCCTGGGAGCCAGCATACCATTACTGACTTTGTTATACATCTCTACATGTGGTGTTCAGGATAATTTTCATCCAAGTGACACAAAGTAAAACAGAATGTGAAATTATCCATCCCATTCTGATAAAACTGAAAGTGAGTGTCAGATGACCTTAATGATTAACAACTAAACTAAATCACTGATTTCTATTGCTGAGAACCTTATCTTGGGATTATTTACTGTGATAATATTAATACTGTGTTCGTGAAGTTAATGTGTGAATCCAGTGCTTTAAACTTTTCTATTTAGGAAAGTCGAAGTGCTTGTCCTCTGGCATTTGTTTGGTGAAGTGCATACATACATTCACACTTAATATTAAGCCCGTAGTGTGTGGTTTGTAAGAATCTTATGTTTATAAGGTATCAAGTCTTCAAATGTAATAGTTTCATAATAACAACATACTTGGTCCATAAAATACATTGGTACATAAAAGGAGATACCTGTCAGTACCTCCTTCCCCATTTGAAGCAAGAGAAAATTCCAGGCTGTAGAAGGCAGACTGGGGAGCTCAAATATGAAAAAAATACTGCTCAGATCCAGCCTACTGTTCTTACAGGGGATACTTTAAATAACATAATCTAAACTCCAATATGATGCGTGAAAAAACCTGATTCTTCATGAAAAAAAACTGACCTTCTTTAAAGACATCCAGGAACCACTAAAAGTTACTATTTTTCTCCTAATGTACTCTCTGCATAACAGTGATAAAACATCATTAATACATAGAAGAAATTATGTCCTTAGGAATTAACTTGAGAACTTACATGAGTTACTTGCAAGACTTGCACAATCTCTCTCTCCCTGGTTATATGATCCAACTTTCTTGACTCAGGCTGGAACAAACATCTTCTGAATAGATAATATGTTTCTTCTTAACTTTGTGATAGATTTATATATTTTTATATTTGCTGAAATTTTTTGGTTTCAAAATTAATGTCAATAAGATACTACCAATGTAAGTTCCTTTCTGTACCTTCTGTATTATGAAATATAGAAGATGCTTGTACTGGTAAAACTTCCATAAGTTGCCATTGGGTGCTTGCAAGCATTTACTATCACTGAATGACATATTTACATCTATAAAAGATTTGTAAGTAAATCTGAGGCAAGTGCTTGGACTTTCGTAAGAATTTTATCCTTTTTTAGGTTGAGTATTTTTTATATTTGAAGTACGTTTGAAAATATGTGCTTAGGAGTAAAATATTCTTTGTTTAACAACAATAATGACTTCAGAGCACCATGGCAAAGCAAAGAGAAAATATAGATTAATGCGTACTGTAAAAACTTAAAATTTCTGTGATGAAATGGAATTTTATACTTAACTAGATGACAGTGCAATTTAAAACTGTTATTGCAGTCAGCTTTCCTGTGTCCTAAATGTTCAGTCATCTGAATGATAATCTTGGAACGTGCTTCAGAAATGCTGTATGTTCGGTGGGTGAAATTGTTTTGATATAGACATGAGGACTTAAAAACCTTTGTCCCTTCTGGACATTTTCCTGTGCGTGCCATTTAAAGAGATGTAACTTCACGGTCTTTGCTTCCCTGCTACAAAGCTGCACCACGATGTAGGAGAAGGGAGTTCCTGACACTTTCTTGGGCTCAATTCATCTTTTACTCTTAAAAAGCGATTTTGTGGTACAATAAATCTTTCTGCAAGTAAAACAGTTCTTAGAGTTTAAGTTTTCATGTTGACAGAGCCTGTCAATCAAATAATTTTGTGTTTAAGTAATATTAAATTAAATGTTGATATTAAATTCTACCTGAGTTAATATTCTTGTTCTTACAGCCATTCTCATAGTGCTCTGTGTTCTTCAGACTTTTTGTTTCCATTCTTTTACCTGCTTTCATGGAAGTTTGCTGGGTGAATCAATTGCAGACTTGAACACTTGAATGTCTGGAAAATACTAAGATCATATTGTCTGGGATTTTTGATAATAGTTGGTCTTTACGCCTTATTGAGTTGTAAGAACTGAAGAAATTCTTGTCTTCAAAAAAAATTTGAAAAATCTATCTCTGTTTTGATATCGACAATTCCATGAAACAAAACAGGGAGACATAAGACATATAAAGCATTTTCCGGGGTCATTTGGGAAGGAAACACTCATTTTCATCACTTACTGTATTGAAAAAAACTTATGGGTGCTGTTTGTGGATTCTTTTTCAGTGTGTGGCAGGAGTCCACACAGAATTGCATTTTGACTTTTTGACTTCTGTCACTTTCTTACCATGTGAAATACAGGATATTCCTAACAGAATTACTTATAAGATGGACTCATATTATACAATTTTGCTCCATTTTCAGTAATAGCTGAGAATGTACTTTGACAAACTGTATCATTTTCAACTGCACCTGTAGCTTTTAATGGGTAGTGCAGCTGAAAGGGGTAAATGTTCTAGATAAAACAGAAAAAGACTAAGCAAAAGAGTAGAAAAAATGATTGTTTTTTTTTTGTTCACTTCCACTTGAAAACCTCAAAACTTCCCCAAATCAGTGTGCTGGAGATTATGCTACAGTGCTTTGGGCTTGTCTAGGTGTAGAAGGGTAACGTACTGATAAAAGCAGGTTCTGCGTCATGGAAAGTATAAAAGAAATGCCTCAGCCTGTGCTTGGGAATGGGTAAGAATGACACTGGGGTGGGTAAAAGCAGAGGGTTCAGTTCTTTACTGGGACATCGCTCTGCTTCAGGACAGAACCTGCACTATGTTCAACCTTTCCCGATGACATGTCGTTTTCCTTTTTCCTTCCGTCTGTAGTCTGTTCTTAGAACTGTCAGTGGTGGAGAATCCAAAAAGTCTTTAGGCAGTCTGCTCACTTTAGAAAGGAGGGTTTTTTAATGTCTAACTTAGATAGGCTTTGCTTCAGTGTAAACCCATTGTTGCTTTTCCTATTACCATTGGACAAAGAAAACCATTTATTTCTTTTCTTTCTTATAGCTTTCTTCTGTACATTGTCAGACTGATATCTTTTAGGCAGCTCTAGACTAGATAATTTAATGTCTTTCAGTCTGTTTTAACAGATGTTTATCTAAAGCTTTGTTCATCCCTTCAATAATTGGAGGACTGTATCAGTTAATCACCATCTTCAGCGCTGATGGATGCAGCATTTCATCTAAGAGCTTACTAGGCCCAATTAGATGGCAAAAGTTTCTTCATAGATGTCATGAGCAATACAGATGTATCACAATATATTGGTTTGTGTTTCATGCCATTATTACAGCATTGACCAAGTTCCTTTTCTGCATTCAGCTGTTTCTGGCTTGTATTTGTACAGCTGTTTTAAAGTGGTGGTTTGCAACCTCCTTCCATTTTTCAGGTCCTGTTTCCAGTTTGTCAGGAACCAAGCGTCAAGTGTGCCTTCAACTCTGGCCAGCTTGGTGTTCTTTGCAGATTTGGTGAGCCCACTCTGCCATCTAAATCTCTAGTGAAGCTCAAATTCTTCTGTATTCCAGACAGAACCCTCCAGAAGTTCACTCAGTACTTTGTACTTTCATGATTTACAGGAGTTTCCAGGTTTTTTTTTCCAAATTCCTTTCCATCTGCTTTATGGGGAGTGTTCTTTTGACAGTGTTTTTCTAGCTTCCCTTTGAGAGTTTTGTGTATCTTTTTGTCAACAGCATCACTGAATTTAAGATTTGACAGATGCTGCTTCATCTGGATTCACAAAATGTATTTCCTTGTCATAGGAATAAGATGGATTGATGTGATTTGTTCTTGACAAATCAATGTTGACTGTTGCTTACCCCTTCGATACTTGGTAGATGTTTGCAAATTGGCTTTTTTTTTTTAACGTGTCTCTCTGTGAATGGAATTAAAGTTGACTGACTCCTTTTTCATTTTTACCAAGATAGAATTGACAGTATGGCTCCAAGTTTATTTCCCTTGGACTTTGGTAAGTCAGAATGTAGGTAACCTGGTAGTGTCAGTGGACCATTTGATTGCTTGGACTGCTCTCTACAAGCACCTGAGAGAAGGATGTAGCTGGGTGGGGGTCAGTCTCTTCTCCCAAATTTCAAGAGATAGGAAAAGAGGAAACGGCTTCAAGTTGTGCCAGGGGAGGTTTAGGTTGGATATTAGGGAAAATTTCTTCACTAAAATAGTTATCAAGCATTGAACCAGGCTTTCCAGGGAAGTGTTTGAGTCACCATGGAGTTATTTGAACATGTGGTTTACTGGTGGACTTGTAAGTGTTGGGTAGATGGTTGGCCCTGATGATCCTAAGGGTCTTTTCCAACCTTAATGATTCTACCAATTGATGACACTCAGTGTTGAAGTGTTAGATGTTTCCATATTGCATAGTATGTTGTATTTCATGTTGTTGCACCCTTTCATCATTATTTAAATGAAGTTCTAGTGGAAAGACTTTAAAAAGAAAATTCTCTAATTCAAATTTTTCTTCTCTGAAGTTTTAAAGTGTTGTCAAATCTAGATTCATACATTAATACAGATGGTTTATGTTGCTTCTTAAGTGAAGCTTAGTACTCATTGTTCTATTTGGGAAATTGATACTAAAAGCTTTTTAAAATGTATTTCTTTTTCCAGTTTGTCAAATTTGCCAACATTGAGGAAGACACACCTTCCTATCACAGACGCTACGACTTCTTTGTGTCTCGGTTCAGTGCCATGTGTCATTCATGTTACCCCGATCCAGAAATACAAACCGAGTAAGTGCCATTCTGTATGAATTACAGAAAACTGTCTTGACACGCTAATACTGTGTGTAATACAGCTTTTATTAGGGTATTTAGTGGAGTACTTCATAGGAAGAAAATGAAAGTCTGAATTTTTAAGTAGCACTAAATATTGCAAATCTTAGATAGCTGGCATTCCTAGAGTATTTAAGTGTAATTTCGCCTGACTAGTGCCTCTCAGACTGTGTGGGTTCTCCCCGGAAAGGCACCACTTATTACAGTAAATGTGCGAGTTCATAACTTACTTGGGAAATAACTGGGCTACTTATATGAACAGCAAAAGCATATTTGGAGATTGCTATTTGAGAATTATGCATTAAAATTGAATTGTCTTAGATGTCTGAAGTATGCTCACGTGTATGAAACTGAAGCGCCTGCATGGATGAGAATTCCAAATTTTTCCGTTCTTACGTAAGCGCCGCAGTTTGTTTTCCTGTGGCTCCCCCTGGCGGATGTGTCCGTCACAGGAATTGGTAATCGGTGTTTAACTCCTGAGCATTTTGGAAAACATAAGGCTTTTCAGTTTATATTATTTACATCTCCGTTGTAGTCGTTTTTTCTACTTCCATGCATTAAACTGTTTATCCATCTGTGACAAGTCCGTGTGCTGAGCATTATTCCACCCTTCAGGTGTACTGTTGTTACATTAGCTGCAGTGCATAAGGATTTTTCTGAAAATGTGCAGCTTCAGAAATCTGTGAACTGTATTTTCAAAATGAATCAATACTGTGTACATTGATTAGGAGGAAGAAACCCCAAACATAAACCCCAAAAATAATTCCTCCTTATATTTAGTGATTTGCTGCCATTTTATTTGTTGCCCTACTACTGTAAACTCTAAAAGGGTCAGGATTAAATCTGTCTGCTTTACCATTACCCCTGCCTCCATCAACTTTCCCTTTAGGAAGATTATCCCAGTGAATGGGTTTACACCATCCATTTTTTAAGGACTTGTACTCAGGGACCAAAGGGCAAAGGGGATGGAAACTTCTTAAAGAGGTGTCACCATGAAGCTGGTGTGTCATGCAACTACCTCATAACTTAAACTTCAGTCAGGTACAGTGTATTTACCTAAAGCGGATAGTTGCAAATAGTATTCATAAAGGTTTCAGTGAGCTTTTGGATATTTTGCATTTTTAAGTTTAGTGAAACTAAACCAGAAATGTTCGACTACTTACTGACCATAAAACATTTCATAAGAGGTTCAGATATGAAGCTCAGCTCAGGATTTTCAGCGTTACTTTCACCTCCATTACCCCTTGCAAATGAGAGCTAATATTAGTAATGAACTGGAAAATGGCATAAGTTAAATGACTAGGACATCCCTGATTCATGTATGAAGTATGATCTACCTGTCACAAGGATATCTCAGAGTAAAATGCCTCAAAACTGTGATTGCTCTAGGAGTAAGACAACTGTGCTAACCTTTTGCTCTCCAGATTGGCAGCCTGCACTGTTATCTGTGCTTCAGTTTGCCATGTTGATGTACCCTTGGACAGGAAGGAATTTCATCCTAGTGACATAATATTGTACATGACCTTAAATTAAATGTAATCTTGCCTTTACTCCCTGTCTGAGCCTTGTTTAGAGGAATGAAACCTTTCCTGTGCAATGAAATTTGATGCTGCACTTTCCTCACTACTTCAACACACACTTTTCATCCTTTTGTGCAATAGTAAGAACATGAAATTAGTGCTGGTGCCACTCCAGTACACAAAAGTGTGGCCTTTCTTCCACATTTGAATTTTTTTTTAACTGAGGGTGACCAAATGTATAGCAATATGGCTTTTTCCACATCATCCTAGACAGTTTAAATGTATCTCTTTCAACAGAGATCTTTGTGAGCAGCAATCATTCTTGGAGTTGGCGTGGCAGGTTTGTTGGTACTGAGGTAATTCAACAATCAGCTGTGACTGCAGAGGACATTTCTAAATGCAGGTATCACAACCAGTCGATACCATTGATGGGGGACAGGGGGTAATTCAGCTGATCCTAAAGCAGACATCTGCAGTTGCTGTACATCTGCATAACTTGAGGTTCCCCTGAACTGAGTGGCTTGAGTGGGAGCTTGAACCTCACCTACACATGTGGTTGTTGTCAGGTAATGTGGGCTTCTGAGCCTGAACTGGAATCTCCCCGGTAAGTGAGATTTCCCTTTTTTCAGGGGAGGTCAGTGCTAGTATTTAGTGTATCTAAAGCCACAGTATCAGCAAATCTTGATTGCCTTAAGATCTAATAATTAAAAAAAAGTTTCAGTGATAGATTTCTGAAGGCTCTGGGTCTTAAATGTTGATCTTAGGTCATTAATATTGAAAACTCCACATTAGATACTGCACTGTAGTTGTAGTACAGCAATATCAAGTGGTTTTCTATCTGTTTATGCATCCCTTTTCTTACCTGATTTGCATATAATCCTATTAAAACTATCTCAAAAGGTCTAGAATGGCATCAGATCCATATTCAATGTGCATGGTTTTGTTCAGAAATAGCTAAAATATAGGAGGCTACAGATTTAAGTATTTACAAATTGAAATCGAAACAAAAATATTAATTATACAGTTTGGTTACCTCTGTGTTTCATCTTACAAATGTTTTAATTCAGCAAATTTGACTGAGCAAGGGCTAGTTATGTGTTGTCCATACTGAAATCAAGATTTAAAAAATAAGGTATAGATTTTCATAGAAATAATTTCAAATTTTAATGAAGCTTTGCTTATTTTACCTGGCAGCTGTACCACCCTCAAGAAGTAAAATTTTCTTCCTACCATTTATTATAATGGCTAATACGTTATTACCACTTCAAAAAAGAGTATTTTGCTACTGATTTCATTGCACAGATTTTCCTGCAAGCTATTTTTGTTTACCAAAATAATGAAAACAGATGAAAGTTAGACCAAGGCCTTCATTGAAATTATTTTTTTCTTTTTATTATTTCATTATTGTTGATTAGTTCTCAGTTGGTTTCATTCAAACAGTTTTAGGGTAAAAGTGGTGGTTCCTTTCATGCATCAGACTTAAGTTGACAGAATCATTTTTTACTCTCCATCTTCTGAACCCTTAAGAAATCTGGAGAGATCTTTTCTGATTAATCTGCAGCCTTAATTTCAAATTTTAAGGACTTGATCCCATGGCTGTGCCAGGTGTTACTGCAGTGGTGCTGTGGTCACTTCACAGCGTTTTTCTTCACCACTGGAATAGGTTGAAATTGTGCAAAATTTCGACTGACAGGGAGTAAATTGGGGAAGAGTTCATGGGTTTTTCCCACATGACTTTTGTCAGAGGTGGTATACACAGTTTGAGTCTTCACTGACCAGTGTCAGCTCCATCCTGACAGGTCATCTTCTGTTTAGTTGTTTGTTTTGTCAGGTTCCTTATGGGCTTTAAAAGGGTTTGGAGAAAACATGGGCAACCTTAATGAATTGGCCAATTTTCCTGATTGCTGCTTGTGAGAACCTGCTGGAATTCCACACTATGTAATTACTGCTGCCCAGTAGGTAAAGAGCCATACTAGGAGGTGCTGTGTTTCTTGTTCTCTGTAATTCCATTTTGTCCTTCCTTAGGATCCGAATTGCTGGAATCAGGGGCATTCAGGGAGTGGTTCGAAAAACAGTTAACGATGAACTTCGAGCAACTATATGGGAACCTCAGCACATGGACAAGATCGTACCATCATTGCTGTTCAACATGCAGAAAATAGAAGATATCGACAGGTAATTTTATTCCTTATCACTAGCATGTTTTTTTAAGCAGTATCTAGGCTTAGTTTTTGGGATGGATATCTTTTTCTTTTATTTTTAGTGGAAACAACAACTAACCTTTACTAGCTGAGACTCGTTGAAACTTATAGCACAGCTCTGCATAACAGCTCAATGCTTCTTGTCTCAAAAGTAATGTCTGCCTCTTTTTTTTTTCACTTGTTCTAGCTTCTATTGGCCTAGAAGTTGCTCCAGAAATTGTATATCCATGTTTTGACTTGATAAACCTGTTGTAAAATAGTGTTTTATAATATTAGATGCAGAGATAACTATGTGCAGGCTTTTAGGTGACTCAAATGACTTTGCTACTTACATTTGTTAAAAATTGAAGCTTTAATTCCCATTAACCATTAGCAACAACTGTCTGTCCTGGCTGCAGCAGTATTTAAAGTAAGGATTTAAAGTTTATTTATATAAACTCTTTTTTTTGCTTTCAATGACTCCTAGGCATAGTACCTGCCAGGTACGCAAAAAGATCTTTAAAAAGGTGTCTGTGATTATTAAAGTTGAGGAGATGCCAGTCACTTTACAATTGAAAAGTCTGTATTTGTGGTTAAATACTCTGTAGGTGTAAAAACTGTGTATTGGTAGCACGGGGAAATTTCCATAAAACCAACTTCAGCTGTGCAGGCAAGCTTAAATATTCATTCCATGTCCAACCTTAGCTGCTTCAAAACTTGCTTGGCAAGAGGCTCAGCAGCCTTTCTATAACAACAGGCTTTCCATGCTTTCACTGAGCTTTCTGTCAGGTTTCATTTTTTTGATTTGAGTTTGGTGGCATTTATTTTTCCATTCCTCAGCCTTATTTTTCTTCTCTTATTTTTAAGTCCCAGTACCTGTCTCTTCTCTAAAGCAAATTTTCAGACCAAATGACTAAAATCAATAGTTGTCTGTCTGTCCATGCTTTATCTGTGTATATAACTGAGGGCCCACACAATATGTACTGAGATGCCTACTTGAATTTTATGTCTGAAGAGTGATCTGAGTAAGAAACTAAGGTTTCTGAAGCTGCTGTTTGAACAAGGAGAGTCTGGTTTGCCTTTGCTTGCTCTTAGAGGGCTCCTGGCTTTACAGAGCCCTCAGGTGTCCACTTCCCTTTATATAGCAAAATAAATTAACTACTGATAGGAAAGCTGACTGAAGTAGGATTTGGATTAACCACTTAAAGCAGATCAGTTTATATGTCCTGCAGGACTGATTTTTATCGTCTGTTGAGCAATGCAATAGTGGTGGTAGAAAAACAAATCTGTCAAAAAGAAACTGTTACTTAAATATCTGAACTGTCTCTGAATCTTGTTCTATAATGCACATACAACAGAAAAAAAAAAGACTAATGGTTTTCTAAGTGGTGAGTAAGGGCCTTGTATGATGTGCATATGACAGAAAAGCTGAAAACAGTATTTGTAAATTGTTGATCTGCTGGCCCTAAGTGGTGGTACATGGAATTTCTCATTTTATGTGACTTCATATTTGTGGAGCACAAACAGAGACATCTTGAAGAGTAGGAGTAGGAGGCATATTGTTCTAGCAGATGGAATCAAAGCATTATTTGAGAAAGAGCAGAAATTCCAGAAAATACCCCCAACTTAAGTCCATGGAAAAGAATGATTTTTGGTTAAAGCTGAAGTACATGTAAGGTAAAGCTTACTTTAAAGGTCAGTGTAATTTTAATTTGTGGAACTGTAATAGCTTAATTGAAGATTCTTCTCACTACATGTCAGAAGAGACACTTTTTGGAGTTAAGAATTTACTATTTAAACAACATTTTAAAAAGGTAATTGTATTCTTGGATGCCATTGTTTGTTCATATGTCTGAATGCACAGTCTAGTTATGTGTCTATCAGACATGACGTGACTTGTATGTCTATTTATGTGCATCTCTAAAATGAGGAAGGGATGTATGAAATTGGTAATTCACTGGCTAAACATGCAAGCCTTGTTTCAGGCAGAAGGACACTCTAGCACTTGTAAACTTGAGTTTGAATCCTTCTAATATACCTAGAATGTTTATACAAATTCTGGTTTAGTGGTAGGTTAGAATGTATTTTTTTCTTGGGGTTAGTAAATCATAGTCAAACAGTCCTGCAGCTGCTCTGCTCATGAGTAGTGGTTAAGTCTTACTTCACATCCTGTCATTTTTTTTTGGCCAATCCTGGTTTTGTGGTATTAAAGAAGTCTAATGCTTGAGATGCTGAGTTGCTCTAAGCCAGTTCAAGCCTTTGATAAGGTGTTTACTGTTCAAACTGCTGAACTTCAACACATCCTCCTTCCATTTCCTTCTTGCCACTTCTTCTGGTAGAGATTACCCACAATAACACCAGTAGAGCAGCTAAAGGGAGTAGCTCTTTCCCATTTCAGTGCATTTTCAGCCCTCTGGACCTGTGTTAATACAAAAAGTCAAGATGCATAGGAATACTAGGATTTTTTTTAAGTGTTGAAGTTGGATTTGTCAGATGTTTTCTGATATTTCTGTAAAAGCCAAGTGAGTGAAACAAAATGAGTATGAATTGCTCATTTGGGATAGAAACTCACGAGGCTGCATGAAGCTTTTCTCTAATTGTCTTTCATCGATAATGCCAAGGAACACTTAGTGAGAAACACTTTTATGTAGGTGCTGTTCAAAATAAAATGTGATTGCTACAGGCAACACAAGATAGTTTTGAATGTTCCTATGCAGTCAGAGAGTAACGTTTTATGCTAGGAATACTGGATTGCAATTTCATCCTTTAACCTGTTCTAAAATAAGACTCCAGGCAGGGCTGAGAAGTCAGCTTCTGTAGGTTTGTGTATACAAGCACTTAAAATATAACTTACTTTTACTGCATTTTAACTGGCATTGTGCCAGACAGCCTCGCTCTGTGTGTTCTGCAGTCTGCTTGCTTTTTCCTCCCCACCCGCCTACCTTTGCAATGCTGCTGTGTTTTAGGGAATCAGTCAAAACAGCAATGGGAATGACAGTACCTACATTGTCATTTGTACCTTCTCTGTGCTGAGAAGGATGCCCATCTGCCTAGATCTGATTCTAGGCAATACAGGGGGGAAAAAAAGGGAGATTAAGTGGCACAGCAGTTGAATAAAGCTGTAGTTTAGTGGTACTCGTGGTGGATTATATACAAATTGTCATGCTTTTTAAAATTCTAATCATGGTGCATTTGTAAAAGTATTTCTCCTTACTTACATAACAGGGTGCCTGAGGCTCTTCTGTTATTAAAATCTGACAAGCTGACAATGTTGTGGTAATTCTGAAACACTGATGTTACCAGAGGCAACCGGATTTTTATATTGCTGCTTTTAGATTTCAGTAGTATTGAAACAGTAGAAAATCTTTTGCTATCGGAAGATATATTACAGCTATGATGTCAACATGTTCATTTGACTATTGGTATTTCAGTTTGCAACTTTTTATAATGCTCTGAAGCTAAGGTTTTATGATGCTGAAGAGTGAACCTTAACTAAAAGTGGTGCTCTTGGTGAACATTTTTAAACATATTTATCTCACAAATTTGCACTGCAGAGCTGAAGTAATGTTTAAAGATTTAGTGTACTGATTTCTGCAATTTAAAATAAATCTACTAATGCATAGGTGCATAATGTTAATGTAGGTGAATGAATCCTCACTTAAGTTTCTATAATGCATTTAAACCACCTGTAGGTACAGTGTTTCTTGATAAGTAATGGAGATGCCTGAGGGGGAACTGTTTGCTTTCTTTCTGAACTGTTTTCACCCCAGTTTGGCTGAGGGGCTCAGCTGTGCCCTGTCCATTGTAATGATGGGAGACACTAGTTAGAAGGTGACCAACTTCTACACTATCTATCTAGAGGTAACTGTGTGGGTGATAATGTTCTAATTAGTTCGATCAGACTTTTTTTTTCAACTCACAAGCCATCTGTTTGTGCATAAGTACTGGAGTTTCATTTAACACTCACCCACACAGTATGGATTCAGTAGTGGGCAGGTGAATGAGATCATGAATCTGAACAAAATGACTAAGAATCTGCCTAATATTTTTCATGGTTTCACAGCCTTTGTTCATCATTGGCAACAGGTAGTGGTTTGTTAAAATGGACAGGGTAACAATTTAACAATTTAACTCAGTTTTAGCAGCCTTTGGTTTTGCCATATAAATGTATAGTAATACAGTGGTTAGTACTGAGTGGGTTTATAGTCCAGCTATAAGAGAATAAAATATTTTATTCAGAATTCTGGTTTGATGCATATTTGAAATACAGTTTCCACCTAGATCAAGAGTGTGACTCATGAGTGGTTTAGTACCAAGGGTGGGTACAGTAAGGAAGCTGAATATTAATCAGTAGGATAAGCAATGTATTTTGTCTTATTTCAGCAGAATAGGCCCTCCATCCTCTCCTACAGGAGGAGAGAAAGAGGAAAATCCTGCTCTGCTGGCCGAGAATTGTTTCAGAGAACTACTAGGACGAGCAACCTATGGAAATATGAATAATGCTGTCAGACCAGTTTTTGCGTAAGTTCAAAATTCATGGAATGTCTTAAGAGATTTTCTTTATTCCATCCTCTTAATTCTGTTGCACTAAATTCCTTCCTCCTTTTCAACTCAAAGGATTTCATTCATGTTTCTTCAAAAAATTGCTCCTCTTTTCATCTCATTCTTTGTTGCCTGTATATTAACTCGAAGGTAGTTACAGAGAAAACTGATTTCAGAAGTGAATACAATGGTTTGGATGGATTGTTGCCTCAGATGGCCTTTTTTTCTCAACATGAATCTGTTTATTCAAGATATTAATTTCCCATAGATGAGTGTTGCAATCAGTGGAGAGACAAACCAAGTAAAATACAAATAGCACAACAGAAGTTACAATTTATACTGCCAAGTCAAGTCCAGTGTTTTTCAGTTCTCTGCATTTGCCCTATTGATTCTTTAAAAACATGTTGTGAAAAAAGCTACAAGCATTAAGATGAGTTAAATCTGCTTCTTTCACCTCTGTTAAAAGTCTGTTACAAAGCAGACATTTATCTCCCAGCTCTGGTGAGGCACATTGCTCAGCAGAGCAGGGGGTCATGGCGTACAGGGAGGTTTTCCAGGCTCCGTGTCCAAGTGGAGATCAGTGACAGGGGGTGCTCCCTGGGGGTTGGTAATGGGACAGCACTGTTTAACATCTTTGTCAGTGATATGGACAGTGGGATTCAGTGCACCCTCATAAAATTGTCCAGTAACACCAAGCTGTGTCATGCAGTCAAACTTAAGAGGGAAGGGATGGCATCCCAAGGGCTGGGGACAGGCCTGAGAGGTGGGACCTCTGCGAACCTCATGAGGTTCAGCATGAGGTCCTACACTTGAGTCAGGCCAATCCCCAGAACCAGTACAGGCTTGGGGATAAAGGGATTGAGAGCAGACCTGGGGAGAAGGACTTGGGGGTGTTTGCTGATGAACAGCCCAGCAATACCTGACAATGTGCTGTGACAGCCCGGAAAGCCAAACGTGTCCTGGGCTGCATCAAAGAGGGAGGGGATTCTTCCCATCTGCTCTGCTCTCGTGAGACCCCACCTGGAGTACTGTGTCTGGCTCTGGGGCCCCCGGTGTAAGAAAGACACAGACCTGTTGGAGCGAGTCCAGAGGAGGCCTCAAAGATAATCAGGGGGCTGGAGCACCTCTCCTATGAAGAGAGTCTAAGAGAATTGAGGTTGTTCAACCTGGAGAAGAGAAGGCTCTGGGAAGACCTTAGAGTCCGTTCCATGCCTAAGGGGGGCTACAAAAGAGCTGGAGAGGGACTTATGACAAGTGTGTGTAGCAGTAGGACATAGGGGCATGGCTTTGACTTGAAAGAGGGTAGATCTAGATTAGATATTAGGAAGAAATTTTTCACTATGAGGGAGATGAAGCACTGGCACAGGTTTCCCAGAGAAGTTGTGGATGCTCCATCCCTGGAAGTGTTGGAAGGCCAGGTTGGATGGTGCTTTGAGCAACCTGGTCTACTGTAAGGTGTCCCATTCCATGGCAGAGGGGTTGGGAACTAAGTGATCTTTACAGTCACTTCCAACCTAAACCATTCTGTGTTTCTATGAAAGTTCACGTGTTCTCAGCAGAAATCTTTGCAGGAAGCTCTGGACTTTCAAACCCTGGCTTTTCTTGGGAATGAGAAGAGCTGCTTGCTTCTTGTAGATTTTTCAAGATATGCTTCTGTTACAGGAGTACGTTCTCTTAGATGGCCTAGTTCTTCCCACAAGTATTAAGTATTTTATTCGTGCACTGAAGGACTTTCAAGCTACCAAAAGCCATTTTCAAGTTACTGCTGTTAAGAACAGAAATTGCAAAGGAAGGTAGGGTTGGTATTGAGGGCACAAAAAAAAAAATTTTGTAGCCTTTTGTTTTTCCCCAAAAAGCATTAAATACAAAGAACTATGCTATTCTCTTATTTTCCATATGTGCCTGTTATACCAACCTGATAGGATTTTAAATGTTGCAAAGTTGGGTGTTTAATTAAGAAATAGGGACCCCTGGTGGCCTAGTGGTTAGCATGCAGGACTCTCACCGCTGCAACCCAGGTTCAATTCCCAGTCCCTCCCGGGCAGATGGAACCCGTTAGCCCTGTGAGGCCATCCATCTATGAGAAGGACACTCTAAACAAACCTACGTCCTGAGGACCTCACTGCCATTGTCCAAGCTTGCTTGGCCCCGGCAGATGAACCTTAGGATTAAAGGGTGGGCTCAGTTCAGCGCAGGCTGTGTCTCACCTAAAAAATCCATTGCGCAGGCTGGAAAGGTAAAAGACCTTTCCCCAAATCTTCGTTCGCGAAGATGGGCCATTAATTAAGAAATATTCATTCTTCCCTAGATTTAAAATTTGCATTCCTCAAATACCTGCCACCTGAGTGAACAGTTAGGTGCCAAAAAGTCTGAATGGACTATTTGGAACTACATTGCAGCTGCTTTCTTACCACTTTTAAACTCTTTTGATGGGTTTATCGCAAAACTTTATCATCATGTGCAGTAACTGCAGTCTTTTGTATCATTTTAGTATCAGGGAAGTTTCCTACAAATAATTCCTGATTCCCTAGACAAGAGTTAGTGCTTGGTTTGGGATTTGAGGTGTCATACCTGTTTTTCCTGTCGAAAGTCTAAAGCCTGATGTATTCAAAGCGTGGTCACCTCAGCATGCCACATGCTTCACTGAAATCAGTAGATAATGACCAGGTGCTCAGAATATATCATCTCTTTTATAAATAGACAGTCTTTGTGGTCACCATTTTTGTGTTCATTTTGAGGAAGAGTTGCCAAATGTGTCTTTTTAGAAATGACTGCTGTAAAGGTTTAGTATTTTTGAAGAACAAGAGATGCAGAAAATGCAATTTCAATCTGTTTTTCCTAAACAAAAAGGGAGTGCTGTATCTAATCAGCTTCACTTTGTGAGTGAGCACAACAGGTAGAATGAAAGTTCGAGATAGTGAGTCCATTGTACTTTATCGGATTGAAAAACCTGCCTTAGCTTATGATTAGGAAACAATTTCTCCTAACAATTTTCAACAATTTTACAGCTTTTAAGAAAACTCTGGAGCAATAGATAAGGCCTCTTATATTAACACTGAAGGTACAGATTCAGTTCCCCACTGAAAGATTTGCTTCATGTGGCACTGGTATATCAGGCAACATGGTATCACTTCCTTGCAAAGCTGAGATAATAGTGCTTCTGTCATCATGAAACTGGGTGTATTCAGTGATTGAGGGATTTAAATATAATGAAGATAGTAGAAATCTGAAGTCAGTCTCCTGATACAGGTGTGGATTGACCTTAATTTTCCTTGCCTTTGGTAGAAAATCTCCGTGGTTATAAATGTCTTCATGTAGCTAAATACTCTCAAATAATAATTTTTAATGAAATCTGACAGATCAATCTGGGAAATTGCTTAATGAAAGTAAAAAAAATAATTATAATAACATTACCTGAAAAAATGTTCTATGTTGTGTCAACAGTCAGAAGCTATTGAGACTTACTTAGCATGAATTTGCAGTGGTGAATAGATTAGGCAGATTCAGAGAGATCCAGGAACCTAATGAATATAAAAAACTTCCCAAGTGTAACAACTGTATTTCCTCTCTTGTCAGTTATCACATCATCTCTGCAAGGCTTTCAAATACTAACAGACTGGTGCATGACGCGTGAGCAGATTATTTTGTATATTCCCATACATGTATGCCTCAGTTATGCTTTCTAATCCTCAGTATCAGTTTATCATCTTGTACTGGAAGGATTGCTTGCATGTGTGACAATGAGAGGGAGTTCAGGGATGATTAGTGGCTCTCTCTCTCTCCATAAAGTAATTTGCATGATTGGTTCTGCTGTTCCTTTTAAATTGAGAAACCCAGTTGTACATATTTGCCACATATATGCAACAGATCTCAATGGAAGACAGCTTGGCATTTGTTAATCCAGCAATAAAATGTTTTGTAACCTTACTTGGATATTCTTTATTGAAGTAAATATAATTTGAAAAAAAACAAAGGAGTCAAGGTGTGACTCGATTTTAATGAAGTAAATGCACCATGCTGAAAATACCCTTTACCTTCTTTTACAAAAACAAAACTACATTGAATACACTCTGTTATAATCAGTAAAATATGTCACCTACAGTAATCTAATACTGCTGTTCTTAGGAGGAAAATTCCAGTACACAAAGTAAGCTGCCCATTGAGCTGTTACACAGATCTTTAACCTAGGCTGTCATCTTCCCCCTGCTGTCATCCCATCAGTTCATCTACCTGAAGTAGCTAATACTTGGCCTTTCTGGAAAAAGAAAACTGTATGTCTTGTTTGAGAGGAATTTTTTTTTTTAACATGATATAAGATGTAGTTGACCATAATCTGCCTGAATGGATCTTTGGGGCAGATAAATAGGAATTGTCAAGGGTAACAGAGAACACATGCTGCCCTGAAAGATTAAGGGATCAGTTCCAATCAGGAGAAAATAGTGGAGAGTATGATTTTCTATTTGATGAGACAAAAATAAAATAGGTTAGCTAAAATAAGCTATCATGTACAAGAAATGATGGACTGTACTGAAATTATATTAAGAAGGAAGAAGACATGAATAAATACATTATAAACCTCTATGCCTTGAAGGATTTAAAGAGGCGATTTGGTTTGTTTTTCTACCCCAAGGCAGAATTAATTATACCTGTGCATTTGCAGTGTGGACAAGAAAGGCAGCTATCCCCAACAGGTAGTCAGGTTTGATATTTAGTAATGCAAATCTGTTGTTATTTTGACAGGCAAAGTACCTTTAAAATCCCTGACGTTCTTTCCTGTAGGGATTTCTATTAAAGGTATGTAATGTGTCAAAATGGCAGTACTTTTTTTTTTAAGCTCTGCAATGGACTGCAAGATAATTTAGGGCACAGGAGAGGGTGGCTTTGTGTCAGCTGATTTAATCAAGCTTGAAGGAGACCTGTGTATGCAGCTGGGTCACTGTGCTGGGAGCAGCTGCCCAGTGAGTGAATTGAGACCTCCATATTCTAGGCAGAGGAAGTTTAAGCATCCAGTCAGTCCTCCTGTGTTTAGAGCACTGACTCCTTTCACCTTGGGCTTTTGAGCTTGCTAATTGAAGCATCTTTATGTGTTTCCTAAGTTCTTTGAGAAAGGGCAGAGCAGTAATGATTCTGTAGCTGAGATTACCTGTTTAGAAACACAACCTAAATTCAGTTTCTCTTAGAAAGTTTTTTGGTTGGTTTGGCCTGTTCATTTGTTGTTGTTTGTTGAATTTGTTGGGTTTCATTTGTTTTTTTTTTTAACCTAAATCACAGCAATTAAAATGCATCCAAAATTACCTTTTCTTTCAGTCTTCTAGATTGAAAAATGCAGATATTTTTGTCATGCTTTTTCAGATACTCAAATCTCCTTTTTGCAAAACTTTGTGTGCCCTATTCATAGCTTTCAGCATATTGCTTAAGCAGAATTCCTTGTATTTGCTTAAAATTCTGACAGAGTTTGTCATTTGTGGTTCCTCTCCCATTTAAAAAGAAAACCGTGCATTTATCATTTGGATTCTGTTTTGATATTTCTTGCACAAACTGTTGAAATGCTTCAGATGTAAGGGTGTATATGCATAAAGAGTAGCTTTTTTTTGTTTTCCACATATTTTATTCATGAAACCACCATGAAAAGAAAAATAGTTCTTAGAGTCTCTGTTCTGAATGGAGCATTCAGCTCTAATTATTTTGTAGCTTGTGATTAAAAACAAATTATTTGTCTTCTGTAGAGTAGAAGTTTGTCACGGTGTTACAACATCCTCTTCACCATATCTCTCACATAAGTGAGCATCTAATGTCACAGCCATTTTTATGCTTGTACTTTGTGTGGAAACAGTATATATTCTTAACTGCATATCTTTGGAGTGACAAGGTTCCTTAAATTTCTGGAACTAGAAGCTCAGGCATTTCTGTTTCAGCTGCATGTATAGTGATCACATACTAAACCTTGAAAAAAATGCTTTTTTTAAGTTCCAGAATTCTCACTGAGTTAATAAGTCATTTTTTAGAAGTTTTATATAATCCCTTTGAGGTGAATTTTGAGAAAACCCTAAGATACCATTTGTTATATGTGCAGAATGTCGTTATTTCAGGTCTCTTAATTTTTACTTTCAGGCATTTAGACCATCATAGACTATGGGATCCTAATGAATTTGCTGTTTCCTGCTTTAAAATCATCATGTATTCTATACAGGTAGGGTTTTCTGCAGCGTTTTTTTTTCCTTTGCATACATGTTTTGAGCACATGAGAGAGGTTTAAATGCTCACCTTACCATGATAGTGGTAGACAGTAGATGAAGTCAAAGAATCCAAAAGATCCCTGTCAATAACTCCAGTGGCAGGTAGTGCAGAGGTCCTTCAGCAAGCTCCAGAACAAGGACTAGGATAGCTGTACTGATCTGGCATTGTGCTTGACAAATAGATCTCTCAAATTGGTCATTTCTGTGTGCCAATACAGCTGTGCTGCTTTTACAGCTCAAGAAACCAACTTCACATGGAACTATGTTGTGCTCAAGATTTTCACTAGTGAGCAGCCTGTATTGTGGCCTTAAGCTGAAGGAGGAAAGGTGGAAATTGGATATTAGGGAGAAATTCTTTACTGTGAGGGTGGAGAGGTACTGTACAGATTTCCCAGAGAAGTTGTGGATGCCCCATCCCTGGAAGTGTTCAAGACCAGGCTGGGTGGGTCTCTGAGTAAACTGGTCTAGTGGAAGCTTCCTTACCCATGGCAGGGGAGTTGGAACTAGGTGATCTTTAAGGTCCCTTCCACCCCAAACCATTCTATGATTATATGATTGTCTGTGATAAACATGATCCAAGTCTGATTCTTTGTGTCAAACAGACATGCAGAAGATCAAGTCATAACAGTCCAGGTTTGTAGAAGAAAGCTGAGTTTTCTCAGCATTTATATCAGTGGTGCTGAAGTCCTTGGACTGCAGGTAGCTCACTGAAGGACCACTTCACACTTCGTCTGTGCTGTAGATGTTCCTCGATATTTTAAGACTGTAAACTTTTGTATAGTGGGCTGAACAGACCTGTGTAGCTTCATCTATCATGGTAGTTTTTTGAAGCCATATTTAATCATGAATTGATGGAAATTTTGATAAATTTCTGAATGAAAATGTTGCAGAACAGGAACATGGTCATGACTGTAGCTGAGTGCTGTATGAGTTCATTCTCATTAAAGTCACAGATGAAGCTTTTCTGTCTATTTTTTAATAGGCACAATATTCCCATCATGTCATACAAGAAATCCTTGGACACCTTGACGTCCGCAAAAGGGACTCGCCACGAGTCCGTGCTGGCATTATTCAGGTTCTTTTGGAAGCAGTTGCAATAGCAGCTAAAGGATCAATAGGTAAGTTGTATTAAATTCAAGGCATCAGGTCAAAGGCTAGATTTGCAGGGTGGTGCTTGTTCTTGCTTTGGTTTCAGACTGAATGAAAGCATTTATTTTGAGAAGGTTTAGTATTTACTTGTTTTTTCTCCTTTGTGCTGATAAATTACTCAAACGTACTTAGTTATTTGACTGTTATATAACCCTTGTATTGAAAAACTGAATGAAAAAATGTTGAAAGGCAGAAATTCCTGTTTGTTAAGAAGTTTGCAAAGTCTGAGAGAAATGTGTATGACTAGAGAATGTCAAGAGCACTGTCGCTTTTTGACACAGCTGCTGTGACCTAAGTGGTAATATGGGAGTTGAGTAAAACGATCCTTTGAGAAATTTTCCCTTAATAACTGTGAAGCAGCTGGAACAAGGTGAAATATGTAGTTTAAGTGTGATATAGTTCCTTGAAATACGAGTAGTTAGGAAGATACATACACACGTGCTCTGCTTCTGATTTTTTTTTGGTCTCCTGCTGTAATATTATTGCTCTGCCTCATTAGTTTGAGTCTGAGCCTGTCCTTTTTACAAGACCCACTTGCATGCACAGACCTGTGAAGTCTTTTACTGTATGATGAAAAGAGCTCATTATTTGATCCAATATATAGAACTGGATTTTAATAGCAGGTTTTGAATTAACTGAAGTTCGGGGGTGAGTACCTGCAGTTTAACCCATTGTTGATGCTTAATTTCAGCAACCACTCCTATTTTTTATCTAAAACTTGCATGGTGGCTTGATTCTGGCCAACAACTGTTTGCTCATTCCCCTTTCCCACAGGACTGAGACAATGTAGACAGAAGGTGAGAAGTCTCATGGATCAAGATAAAGACAGTTTAATGGGTGGAGCAAAAGCTGCATGGACAAGGAAAAAAGTTACCTCCATCCTGGCCAGACCCAGTACACTTGATCAGAATGGATTATGCAGACATATCTGATTGCATTTCCTGATTCCAAGTTAATTTCTAAAACATCAAGATGTAGGCATGCTTCAAAACTTAATCCCTAGGCCTTACGCCTCAAACACTGAATTTCACTTGGGTTTTTTATGCTTACTCAGATTTCTTTTGAAAAGGGATTGAAAAGGTCAGTTTTCATTTTCTTAAGACATCTTTCCCTTGACAGGTGCAATCACTGTTATTTGTTGTTTCCAGGCCCAACAGTTCTGGAGGTGTTTAATACCTTGTTGAAGCACTTGCGCATCAGCGTTGACTTCGAGCTGGGTGACAGGCGCAGCTCAGCGGGAAGTGCCGCTTTCAGCACGAGCTCCAAGGAGAGCGATGAGAGGATTGTCCAGAATGCAATTATTCAAACAATTGGTGAGTAATGACAGTAACACAGGCTCACTTAAAATCCCTCCTGTTTTCCCCCTTCCACAATGAGATGGTATTGGACCAACTTGAATCCAAAAAGAACAATACCAAGTGTGATATCTCTGATTGTATTTGCCTCATTCTCAGGCTCACTTCTCAGGCTTGTCTTCTGAAAGGTTGTTCTTTTAAATGCTAACTGAGCAGATAGGGAAGAAGCTCGATGATAATTAAAAATGCTGATAGACTTAAATTTTAGTTACGTTATTATATGGCTCTTGAAATATAGAAAAAAATCCCTACCTTAGAACTAATATTAGTCCTTTTATGAAAATCATATTGCAAACAATCGTATACAGTAAAATATATTTTAGTAGGAGCTACCTGAAAACTTGTAGAAACGGATGTTAAACACAGTAGCAACAATGACACCTAATGGCCGGGTGTGCTACAACAACTTAAGTACTTTAACGGCCAGCACTGTAAGTGGCGTAACAAATTCTGTTAATTATTTTGTTGGAATACCCTGCCCCCTTTTCTCAGATTTTCTCTTTGTGGTACTGATATTATATATTGCATTGCATTTATGATGTGTATTCCTTTTCTTAAAGAACAAGGGGCAGTGTAACTTTAATGTTGTTCACTAATCTGTACCTTGAAGCTTTTTAGAGCAGTAGCAAGTATGTAGTAGAGTATTTCTCATCGTCGCAGTAAAACTCCAAGTTAAAATATTAAGCCCTCACAAAAAAAAATTAATTCTGGAAACCCCACAACCCAGCTTTTTAAAGTAAAGCTTCTTTCTGTCAAAGTTAACTCTGTACTATTGCACAGTAATAGAATAGAATATCTGAAGTTGGAAGGGACCCATAAGGATCATTGATTCCAACTCCCTGCTCCTCACAGGACTTCTTACTACTAAACCATGTGACTAAGAGCATTGTCCAGATGCTCCTTGAGCTCTGTCAGGCTTGGTGCTGTGACCACTTCCCTGGGGAGCCTGTTCTAGTGACCAGCCACCCATTCAGTAAGGAACCCTTTCCCATCTGACCTTCCCCTGATGAAGCTTCATTCCATTTCCTTGTGTCCTATCACTGGTCACCAGAGAGATGAGATCAGCACCTGCCCTTCTGCTGCCCCCCTCGAGGAAGGTGTAAACTGTGATGAGAGCACCTCCCAGCCTTCTCCTCCAAGCTGAACAAGCCAAGTAATCTCAGCTTCTCCTCATAAGTCTTACCCTCAACACCTTTCACCATCTTGGTTGTCCTTCTCTGAACAGCCTCTTAATAGTTTGATGTTCTTACATTGAGGCACCCACAACTATGGACTCGAGGTGGGGCCGCCCCAGTGCAGAGCAGAGCGGGACAATCACCTTCCTTGCCCGGCTGGCAATGCTGTGCCTGATGCCCCCAGGACACGGTTGGTCCTCCTGGCTGCCAGGGCACCCTGCTGACTCACACTTATCTTGCCATTGACTAGGACCCCAGGTCTCTTTCCATGGGGAATGTTGGGAATAACAGCATTATCTCTGTTCCCCTCCCTGGGCGCAGTCCCACAGCTATGGCCATGCTGCCATAAGAGCAGGGCTCAGCCTGCAGCTGGCATCAGGGTGGCAATATATTCCTAGTGGAACTGTGACTGGGCAGCTGCCTCAGTCGTGGGGGGTGCAGATCTTAGAGAGGCCAGGGCCTTCTGTGGGTAGAAACTAGTTCTCGCTGGTTGAACTGGAAGAGCTACAGTACCCTCCTTGTGTGCCAACTGTTGCTAGCACTCCCTGAGGGATTCTTTTAAGACCTGGGAGGATGGGTGTGCCTGGTGTTTCTCCTGGCCCTGCACAGGCCCCTTCAACCATTGTGGTGCAGGCTGTGGGCTCCAGGTGGGTCTTTCTGCTCCCGTGAGGTTCCTTTGGTTCAGGAAACCCCCCCTGTGCATCTTGTGGTGCTCCCTGGAGCACTCTGCTTCCCATCAGGAGCTGCTTGCATCGTCAGTCCCTCAGTACAGCAATAGTCATATATCACTTGTACATCTGGGATTTCTGTCCCATCGCTTGTAACATTTAAGGGAGACTTCACAGACAAAAATAACAGCACTGTGTACCATGAGAAACACTTCCAGTTCCTCACTAGTTACAAATTAACAGATGCCACGCATGTAATTTTTAAATGGTATATTTAGAGGAGGATAAAATTAGAAAGCTTTAGGATTCAGAGTTGGAAGCAAATGTCACAAAAAGACTCTCTAAAGCCATTCAGCAGAAATGAACATGTGAGATTATGGCCTAAAACAAATCATAATTTTATTCTCATCTATTTTGACCTTGTTAATATATTCCTTGTATTTATAAGGCTTTCCTTATAAAGAGAAGGGCCCTATTTATCTTTTCTTCTGTGGTTTCATTCTATTTTTATTTAGGATTTTTTGGAAGCAATCTCCCAGATTACCAGAGATCAGAGATTATGATGTTCATTATGGGCAAAGTACCTGTTTTGGGGACTTCACAATCACTGGATACCAGCCACATTGGGTTTGTATATCCTACATTTTTAATTAGATTCTTGATAAAGTATGAAGCGAAAAACATTAAGAAAAGTGAAATGCAAATCCTTACTCGTTAGGGGCTGTATTAAATACTATGCAGAACCAAGTCAAGCACAGTGTCAGCAATATGAAATCAGCCTACAGACTTGATACTGATAGAAAATACCTGATTGGAATCAGGCTTGTTTTGCACTAAAACATTTCTTCACATCTGTTTCCAAAATTATCCAGTGAATGCTGGTTAATTCCATAATTTCTTACATGTGTGTTTTGGGAATGAGGGAAATTGAACTATGACCACCTTTTTGCAAATAGCTGTATAATTTTCAAATGTTTTTTGTTTTTAATACATTCTGTTCAAGCTGACTTCAGCTTAAGAAATAAACTGCAGAAATTCCAGTGAATTTGTTTTAAATTTTCCCTATTTATTTAGAAATAGGAAAAAGCTATAGGTGCTCAGATTTCTGTCATAAATCCATAATTAAAAAGTTGCCATACACTGAAGTAATTTTTTTCCTGTAATGTGAATAATTATGTTGAAAAGACTGTGCTTCCTCAGTATGGGGAAAGTCACTGAAGAGGCTGCAGCTGTTCTTTCCAGATGTGCATGGACACTTTGCACCATATAACTGGTCCCCTGCTAGATTAAGTAGGAAGTCATTGTCATTCTCCTGGCTTCTTGGTAGCTTTTTGAACAGTATTGTGTCCCTGTGGCATGGGATGATATTCCATGAAAGATAGAAATCTGTCTGTGCCAGGCAGTTATAACTCATTAAGAAGGTATTTGAAGAACAAATCCATGTAAAATTCTGTACTTGAATTAACAGTTGAATTAACTACAGAGTTTGCTTTGGGATTTTTTTCTTTTTTTGGGATTCTGTGTAAACATGCACCGGAGTGTGTTAGTATGATGTGCATGTGTCATTCTGAATAAAGCAGGCGTTCTGACTACTGATACAGTCTTGCATTGCATGAAATTTTGGTCTGCTACCAAATCATTTGAATGATATAATAGCCAGGATTATAGCCCCTGTAGATGAAAGTTTCCACTGTTATGTAAGGGCCAACTCCTGTGAATAGTTTTGCTCTTTTTTTATGTTACTGATGCACAAAGTGGTTTGTACCTTTTTTATTTTCCTGAGAAAGTCTCTTTGAATGGAGGAATTTATTCCAAGTGCACTTTTATCTCGTAAGATCTTGCAAGAGTAGTGACTACATACCATTAGATATTTGGCTTCTTTTAGTGCCAGCAGGCGGAAAATGAAAACAGATGAAGAACAGGTTAAGTAGTGTTCCGTGTACCTTCCTGTGATATGAAAATCTTTCAGTTTTCCTTACTGATTTTGCGAATAATTTTTTTCCAGTCTCAGAGTTCTGAGGTCTGATTTAAATAAGAGGTGTCCTCGTTTCTTAAGAAGATTCAATTACATTTTAATTCAGAAGAAATTCTGAGTGCTGATGCTTGTGAAAAAAAAGTCAAGCTTGCAGTGGTTGAGCGTTTTAGATACAAAGAGATTGCTAAATGAAACATGAGTTTTAGACCTGCTTTACAGTATACAATTTACTGTTTTCTTCAGTTACATGAGCTCCATTTTTTAAGCCATTCTGTAAACGTCTCTTCCAAAAACATTTAGTTATTGCACCTCAGTTGGAGATATTTGCCCTCTATTTAAGATCATCCAGCATCCCTTCCAAGACTGCTGTATCCACTTGTAGAAATGCAGTTGTTAGAATGATGTCTAGGCAATATTTTGAAGATATGCAAAAAAACCTAATTTGCAACTTTTTTTTTTTTTCTAATTGCAGAGATTTGGGAACTAGAAGGATTCAGATCATGTTACTGAGATCTTTACTTATGGTAAGCCTTTTGTGCTCAGTATACTATGTTATAAACACACAGTGTTTCACTTTATCTATACTTTTACACTCGTAAGTACAGTATAACAACTCTGGATTATGAAATTAAACATACATTCCTGTTATATAGATCTGAAATTCTGCTGTGTAAAATTGTGAAAGCATTTTCCCAACTTACATTACAAACAGCTCAAGAAATACTCCTCCATCTCTTAAAGCACTATAGTGAATGTCAATTATAATTGGATCTGCAAATCCAAAAGAATATAATAGAGTAGGTTGAGTTCTGCCAGCAATACTGGCAATATCAAAGCGAACTCACTTTTGTCTCTGAGCCCAGAAAAGCAGTAATCAGTAGAGTGGACAGTATTTTTAAAACCATAGAAGTGGATGCGTATCTCCAAGCCCTTAAAGCCTCAGACACAGTTGTTCTTTCCTTCCTAATATTTCCCAAGTTTCTTGTAAAGTATGACTGAATGTTTTATCACAAATACATTTTTCAACTGTAAACCTTTAAAAGAGTATTTCTGGAAATAGACACAGATGGTAAGAATCATAAAGTGGGTAGTAAAGGAGACTCTTGCCAGTAGAATCCTGGCCTGTTTTGTTGCAGAAGCTGAAAACTGTTTAGTCACTGAAGTAGGGGATACAGCATAAAGAATGATTTCACAACTAAAGCAGAAGAATACCTTCCTGGAAAATGAGCTTCTGTCCCTGCTTTGACATGAAATTTGTGTGTGGTGTTAGGCAAATTGTTTAAAACATTCTTTGCTTGTCCAAATCTGAAATCCTAGACTGTGGTTTGCAGAAGACGTGAGCATTCACAGTTGCAATTTAAGATAGAAAACTTGTTAGAAAGGGCCTCAGGTGGTCATTTTGCACATTGTCTCCAGAAAAGATAGACTCAGGTATGCCTAAACTGTTCCTGACAATATTCATGTCACCAATCTTAAAGTTCCATCCAAGTCAGTAAGAATTGTTCTAATGATTTTGAGCACTGCATAGCCTAAGTATACTTTAAGGGATTCACGTTGTGCATGTGGGAGGAATTTAACATTTTGGACACTGAATTTCAATTTGCATTCTCTTTAGAATATGGAAGTAAAATCCCATCATGGCACAAAGGTGTGAAAGTGAATGTTCTGATGCTTAATGAATTACTCAGATATTGATAAATATTGTGAAAAAAATGTGAGCATTGTACATCATGTGTTCTTTACAAAAGAATAATATTTCATAAAATAATCAGTCTGTTCTCATGCATACACACAGGCAGACAATGTTAATAGGCAGTTGAAATCTGGCACTTCATTAAAAGTGTGCACTTACATTTGCAGCCTTGCTGCTTGTAATATTAGCCATTTTCCATTTTCAAAATGATTGATTAGATACCTTCATGTGCCCTTGTGCTCCTCTACCAGCCACTTCTCTTTGAACACCTTCAGTTATGCTGCAGGCCCAGTGCTTGCTCATGTGTTGTGGTTTAACCCCAGCAGGCACCAGGGACCACCCAGTCACTCCCTCACTCTTCCCCAGAGGGAAAAGTGGGTTGAGATGAAAACAGTTTAGTAAGTAAAAGAAGGAAACCAAGAGAAACAAACCCGAGTAATAATAAAATAAAGCAAAACCCACACCCAAAACCCAGTTGCTCATCACAAGCCGGCTGATACCTGGCCAGTCCCTGAGGAGTGGCAACCCTTGCAAACTGCCACCTCTTTTGTTGCTGAGATGACACATTTTAGTGTGGGATATCCCTTTGGAAGTGTGCAAGCTCTGCTCAGCAGTAACTAAATCAACCCCATGTTATCAGCACTGTTTTGGTCACAAATCCAGAACACAGCAGCATATGTGCTACTATGAAGAAAATTAACTATCCGAGCCAAAACCAGCACAACACAGTTCACATGTAAAAGGGTATGGAATATGTATAATAAAGAGACAATTATTAAGTAAGCCTTAGATAAAAATATTACTGTGTTTATTATAATTAAATTTTGAATAATTTTTCTCCCCTCATGCTCAGTACCTTATACTTTGCAGTTTGTGAATCTGTTTTGGTTTTGAAATTGTAATATTCTGATAACCTCGTTTTAAATTCTAAACATTTCTGACTGCTGTAAATGTTCAGCTAATTAATATTTGAATTGTCAGTAGAAGTTTACTTTATGTACCTACAGAGTTTGCTTTAATTAAAAGTAATTGAATGAGGCAAGTCAGAGGTAGTATTAGTTTAACAAAAGAAGAAAAAACCCACCATGGTACCAGATTTCTAAGACAGTGGTGTTTGCTGCTTATGTTATGTTTTGCAATGAAGTAGTATCAATAAATGTTTAAGGTGTACATATAGGCTCTGACTTCTCTTTTTTAATTCACATGAGCTTACTCAATAACATATGTGAACTGAACAGCTCATAGCCTGAAATGGAAAAATCTCTATTGTGATTATTACCATCTTCATTTTATGCCCTGCAACTTTTCATAGGCCATTTAAAAAAAAAATTCATAGCTTTATTTTTTCTTCTGGGTATCTTGGTAAAGGAAGTATCCTGAGAAACAATCCTTTTAACAAATGAGAGAGTTAATTTGAAAATGTGTGTTGGAGTCCTTCCAAATCCATAGTGAGGTCAGGAATTTTCAAAATTAATCCAATACTTCAATTTGAATCCACCTTTCAGATGCCAAAGCATTTGTCATTAAAAGTGAGTGACAAATGCAGTTAATTCTTACAGTGCAGTAACGACACACATTAATTTAACTTCCGACAACAAACAGGTGACTTCAGGATACAAAGCCACAACCATCAGTAATGCACTTCCTCCCCCGTTCCTGGACCCGTTACTGTCTCCTTCACTCATGGAGGACTCTGAGCTAAGGCAGCTGGTCCTGGAAATCCTGCATAACCTCATTGATCGGCACGACAACAGAGCGAAGCTCAGAGGGATACGGTACTGCTTTTTGTTTGCTTTGGCCTACTTGAAATTCTAGTTTAATACCTGAATGATAAGTACTGTTGATTTTTAAATACTTTTCCTAACGTGAAATTTTAATGTACCATTTTGGTAAATGCACAGCGCACAGTGTCTTTTATTGATGGAGGCGTTTTACAGGTAAGCCTCAGTGCTCCTACCTTAAATAACCATTAAAATATCTGCTAGTTTATCTATGGAAGACAGAATATGTTATTTTATGTAGAGAAAAAGAAATAGAAATACGTGATTATCATAATTCTGTTTATTGTTCTCCCTCTTCAACTGAAATTTGAATATCCTTGTTAAGACTGGATATAATTAAAAGGGAAATTGCATCAAGATTTGTTTGAATAGTTCCTATATTTCACATCCTCTTCCTTTTCAACTTTTTTTTTGCTAAAGTGATATTTTTCTTACGTTTGTAGAATAATACCAGATGTTTCCGATCTAAAGATAAAACGAGACAAGATTTCAAGGCAGGATGTGAGCTTCATGAAAAAGGTAATAGAGTGAAACATCACTTTTCTATCTAGAAATAAAGTAACTGAACCAGTTATTTTGCTTGTCTTCTGCAGTTGTATTTTTGCAAGAAGTTGCAAAGACCAGTACCAAATGCTTTTAATCAAATTACAGGGATTTCAATGTTGAGGTGCTCTAGATACCTTAAAGATGGTTCCATGAAATAAAATTGCCATGTATGTCTTAGGTGAAAACCCTTGTATGCATGAAATTAGACAGAGAATTAAAAGAATAAAAAAGAATAAAATACATGTGTACATATGCATACACAAACAAGTACATGATTAACCAATATTACCACTAGTTTCTAATGACAGCTTCTTTATAAATACAGTACTGTTCTATTTTATGCAGAGAATTGCATGAGTACTGCACTGTGGTCAGATGTTGGCATTCATTTCCTGTTGAAATATTAAAAAAAATAATTTCCCATTTATGAAAAGGAGGAATCTAAGTTGACCCTGCTTGGAGTAGAGAGTTGGACTAGAAGACCTTTAAATACCCATTCTAACCTAAATTATTCTATTATTTTAATACTCATTTTCCCTTTTATGTTATAGCATGGTCAGCAGTTGTACAGACACATCTACTTAGGCTGCAAAGAAGAAGACAATGTCCAAAAAAACTTTGAACTCCTGTTTACATCTCTAGCTCTTACCACAATTGAACTGGCCAATGAAGAAGTGGTTATTGACCTCATTCGATTAGCTATTGCCTTGCAGGTATGAGGCTGAGTTGGTGGTGTGTTTGTTGACTGACAATTTATATTTGTAATTGGATATGTGAGTAACTTGTTTGGTTTGTATATTGATCTTCAAATTGGAAATCTCATCATTTGGTCCAAACATGATTGAGCCACTAAGGAAGTATTAAAGGGGAAACTTCAGCTAATCAGTTTTGTAACAAATTTCTACAGCATGTGCTGTTCAGGAAAAGTAGCAGATGTGGAAATTTGTTGAAATGTTTCCTAGAATCACTGATATTCGTTAGCAGATTGAAAAGGTGTTCTTACAACCTGTCATTGTGCATCAGTGTTCTGTATAAAAGGTATGAACTGTCCTTGCCTTGGATGAAAGCTTTTGTGTAATTGATTGTTGGGAATATTTCTCAAACCAAGCTATTTAATCTCACCTTAGAGTAAAATTCTGTTAATGTGCTGATAGGCTTTATTCCTTAACATTTTGTTAAAAAAATCATACATTATCTCATACTTGCATACAGTCTTCAGGGAAACTGTCAAACTTACTAAGTTTGTCTATGTTGAAATCAAAGCATTAAAAAAAAATAAAGGAGTGCTAACATGTGCCCTGGAAATTTGATGAAATCAGGCCCTGTATTCCCAGTTCTCTCTGTCATTAATCTTATTCCCAAATGTGCATCTGTATTATGAAACCTCTGAAATGCAGTGTGCATCCTTAATTATAAAATTTGTCACTGAACCAAATCCTTACTTAATGAAAATGACATTAGGAGTTTTACTAGAGCAAAAATAATGCAGTCTGAATAAACATAGAAATGCTAATAAGGATGAAATAATTCCCTTTATGGTGCTGTATCTGTGACTCACACAGGTGATCTTTGTGATTAAACTGCTATTTCTAATTTTCCTGAAAAAATGTTTTGATCAGGAGGTGGTAAGTACAAGAGATTACCAGTTATTAACCAGTACTTCCTTTCTGAGAAACAGAATTTTGAGTTAATTTATTTCTCTTCATAATGGTTGAATTTTTAAGCTTTTTAACTTCAGACCAATATATTTGTAATTCAGAAGTGAGCTAAAAGACTAGAATTTTAAGATGAGAGGTATCAAATACTAAGTAGTAGCAGATAGTCATCATATGTCTGGTAGTTACTAATAATAAATTTGACTCCCATATATTCAAGACAGCCTGTTAAGTTTGGAAAGCATAATGCTGTCCCTTGTATTTCAGGACATTGCCATCATCAACGAGGATAATCTGCCAATGTTTAATCGTTGTGGTGTCATGGCATTGGTTGCAGCTTATCTAAACTTTCTGAGTCAGATGATTGCAGTTCCTGCCTTTTGTCAGCATGTCAGCAAGGTAACACATAATTAAATAAGTCATTTATGACACTACACATTCTACTGTAAAATGGGTAAATAACTTGTATCAAGTAATGGCTTATGGTCTTGTTCTCCCATATTTGTGTCCACCAACCTTGCTCTTGGTCTTCAGTTTCTGATGGCATTACTTGCTGACTCTTCAAATTATAACAGAATAGCCTTCTCTCAAAGTATAGCATTTTTAAGTACCATATATAATGGGCTAAATCCTCATCTGGTATAAGACTGTACAGCCTCACTGGCTTGGGTGAAAAAAGTACTGACACGTACAAGACCATGAGAACCAGATTTTTAGTCTATAGGGTGAGTGTCAGAGTCTCTTTCTCTGGTTAAAAGAAATTCCAAAGGCCTCATTTGTGCTAAGGTAGATGTTAGTGAGGGTTAGTTATTGGAGAAAACAGCTATGGAACTACTCCATTTGTACTGTTTGTCTTATGTTTTTTTTAGGTCATTGAAACCAGAAGTGTGGAAGCATCTTATTTTCTCCCAGAAACAATTTTCAAAGACAAATGCAAGTAAGGAGATACAAAATGTCAATTAGTGGACAGTGAAGTACCTCTTTTACTTTTAAAATTCAAACATCACTGAAATGTGTTACATCTATGAAAAATAATTTAGGGGTTTAGTAGTGTACAGGGTAGACAGAAGAAACCCAAATATTGAAAGCATGTGCGTGTACATTTATTGTAGTCAGAGGCACTTACACTCTCACAATATGATGCTTGGTATGCATGCTGACACAGTCAGATGCATTTTCACTGAATCACAAAATGGATGAGGCTGGAAGGCATCTCTGGAGGTCATCTGGTCCCTGCTTAAGCAGGGCCACATCCAGATGGCTTTGGAATATCTCCAAGGATGGAGACTCCACAACCCCTCTGGATAACCTGTGCTAATGCTTGGTCACCCTCACAGTAAAGAACTGTTTCCTGATGTTCAGCCAGAACCTTCTGTGTTTCAGTTTGTGCCGTTGCCTCTGGCTCTGTCACAGAGCAGCACTGACAAGCCTCACCTTCCCTGGCAAGTGCAGCACCTGACTCAATAGTCCAGTGTGGCCTTACCAGAGCTGAGTAGAGGGATAGGATCTCCTGCCTCAACCTGCTGACAGTGTTCCTTCTGTCAGCCAGGATACAGGATGCAGCCTCAGTCTTTTTTGCCACAAGGGCACGCTGCTGGCAGATGGCAAATATTACTGTTGCTATTAGTTAATTACTATTAATATTACTATTGCTCTGCAGGGCTTTTTTTTATTTAACAGAGACTATTTTCTCTCAAGATGTAGCAGAATAGATGAGGAAAATATTTCGGATAGCCAGTAAGTGTTAAGGTAATTTAAAATAATGCAGAGGTGTTGAATAAACTAATTTTGGGTGTATATTCATTCCTAAAAAACTGAGCAAGCTTCATATCCATCAAATCATTACCATTGGTTGCTCACAGACATTGGAGGAATCTTTTCTGTAACCAACAAATACCTATTTGTAGATAATAATTTCAAATATATATTTTGACAGTCTTCCAAAATCCTTAGAGAAGCATGAAAAAGACTTATTTTTCCTGACGAACCAGATTGCAGAATCATTAGGAGGCAGTGGATACAGTGTGGAAAGATTGTCAGTTCCGTATGTACCCCAGGTAACAGGTAAGTGCTGATTAGTAGCAACACCACTAAGTACCGGTTATTAAGAATGCTTTCTTAATGTGTTGTGTGCCAGTGAAATGTAATGTGGCTGCTTGGCAACAAAACCTAATCAGATCGTTTTGTCTTCTCAGGATGGGGTGTTTTTTTCTCATTAGCTACTCTACAAAACTGTAAAAAGTTTCAACTATTTGTCCTTTTAAGTTTTTTTTTTTCCTTAAAGAAAGGAAGAGGAGCAGAAAGGCCTTGAACCCACTTTAACTCTTTTTAATGAAGTCTTTGCTTTCAAAAGACTACCTGTGTTAATTTGAGAATATACAAGCCAGCATACTTTATTCTTTTTATGTAAACACTGAATGAAAGGTATTCCATGCTTTTGCCATATGGTCTTGTGCTGAGTTGAGTTATTTGCCTTAGATAAATTCTAAATGAGCAGATGCTAATCAAGTCAAGAATGGGATGTTTTTCTCCATTAGATACCTATGCAAGCTTAGTGTCAGGTGACAGTAGAAATGCCTTAGGAGGGTTTGTGGGAGTTCCAGCTATGCAGGCTGTGTGAATAGTGTGTGGAGGACTAGCAAGTATGTGACATTATGTGCTTTTGGCTTTTAATATATTTTCAACAGCCAATTGAGCAACTTACTCAAAAAATTCTTTGAAGAATTTATTTTCTTAACAATGTGTGTTTTGTGGCTCTATGTAACCAGTTGCTATTGTAAACAGACTGGGGGACACCCCAGCCTGAAGCATGGACCTTTTTAAAGTACCTAGTAGAAAAATGTGAATTCTCTGTTCTGTAGCTCACACAAAGAAAGAATCATAGTGCATAGGGACAATGAATGTCAGATCTGTCATACTTGCAGTCTGATTCAGAAACATTGCTGCCTGCTCTTGAGTATCTTGAGGATAGCTGCTATGGGAGGAATTGAGTTCTACAGACAGCACATGTGGGTTTGTCCCAGATGCTAGCAGGCACACTAGTGATATGTTCTGACACAGCTACAATGTCTGTGTTTTCTGTTGCTGGTTGTCTTCTAGAAAGGATAATGTTCCTATCCTTGACAGATTTCTTCTTCTGGCATCCAGAAAAACAATTAACGTTATATTTTAGTATTGGCAGAAGAGGTAGCCAGCAAGTAAGGAAATGTTACTGACTTTGAGTGAATGAGAATGGAATGAGAAAGATAGCTTGGTTTGAAATTTATGTTAAGCCTCATCTGGAAACCAAGGTGTAGTTGTGCCCAAATGACCTTGTTAGGGTTTTCTTGGATACTTTGCTGAAAATGCATTCCTACACAGGAAGACGTGAAAGTTCTGACAGCAAGATTGAGTTTAGCTGCAAGTATGTGATTAACTGCCTCTGCAGGTGATGAGCAATTGCCATATTTAATCCTAAATCTTAGCATATGTGAGTCGGGTGGGTTTGGGGTTTTTTGTAATTTTCTTGTAAAGAGCAGTAACCAAAACTTGCTCCTTGTCTGTTACCATAGCTAATAAATACATTAATCTCTAATCCTGTGGAATATTGAGCTTTCAAGCTTTTCATTTAACTAAAGCAGGAGCAAATGGATATTTTTGAATTCCTAAGCTTTTAATTTTTTAATGCAATGAAATGTTTCATTTCTGCTATTAATATTATAATGCTAGAATGTAGTGTTTCGAAAGAAATCATTAATCATAGTAAAAAATGAATCCATTTTTCTATATTCCTGTGAAATCTAGAGTTGAACCCAAAAAGCCAGTAAATATTTCATCCTGATTATTTCTGGTATTTCCAAATATCAGTGACACAGTGTTTAACAATGGCTTGTAGACATAATTTTGTCATCCTGTCTTTGTTTCATGTTTTGATATTTCTTGTCAGTTTGAAAGACATTCATATCTGCAGGTTTTTTAATCTTCCTTTTTCTCTTCCTTACTTGGGGGAGGGAGAAAACTGATAATTTAAATGTACTTGTAATCATTTCTTTTGTCAGTACATATATATTTTTTTAATTCAGCTCTATTTCCATCAGGCAAAAAACCTCATAAATGCAAACACAAGTCAAAAGGTAAAAATGAGTTGTAGGTCAGCCTGCTCTCCTGCTGCTTGTGGTGTCTCTATAGGATGTGCACTGTCAAAAAATGCTTTTAGAAGGCCTTTAGATCCTTAGGCCAGAAATTGTGTTGTACTTGGTGTACTTAGTGTTTCCATATGCTTTTTTTTTGTTCATCTCCTTGATATACCTGTAGCACTGTTAGCTGCTGTGAGGTTTACCTTTGTGTTTACTCTTGATTTGAAACTCTACAGTGGTAGCTTCCTATTTTCTTTTCCTGAGCAGGTAGTAGGGCTAGAGGTATCATTTTTGTGATGGTACTAATTACCTCTTTAAGTGACATTGCAAGAACTTGTAGAAAGTTGGAAGAAGCTCTCAGTTGTTCAAAGAATGAAGAGTTATCTTACTCACTGGCTGTTCAGGATAAAGGTCCGTTAGCAGAACATGTGTATATGCAAATGGTCTGTCTGCATCCCAGTAGCTGTGTGCATCCCACCAGGACTGGGCTTAGACACTGTCTTCCCACCAGCTGTCTCCTGGTTCCCAATCTCCCCAGTCACTGGCACCTGAGCATGTGAGTCCTTCAAGTGCCACAGCCCCAGTCCAGGTGCTGGTACAGATCCCCCTTGCACACTGTGATGCCCATGTACATGTCCATGGATCCCATTCAACCCCCCAGGCTCCATGGTCTTCCTGACAGCTGACCTGGGCCTCCTGGTCTCTCTAGGGTCCTACCCCTCAGGGACACACAGAGCCAGACACACGCGGTCACCCCCGGCTCCCAGACCACTTGGCCTATTTGCCTACTGGTCCAGCTTGATTTTCCCTCATGATCACGTGGGAATCATCATGCTGTGCAACTTTGCTTGCTCCAGACCCACCAGGCCTCTGACCTGTGGTCTGACTCCAGTTACTGTTCTCAGACCCCCATGCACATGACTGCACAAGGAATAGGGTTCCTCACCCAGGAAAAGAGGGACCTTAAAAATCATCTAGTTCTAACCCCCCTGCCGTGGGCAGGGACACCTTCCACTAGACAGGGTTGCTCAAGGCCCCATCCAACATGGCCTTGAACACTTCCAGAGATGGGGCAGTCCCAGTTTCTTTGGGCAGACTGTTCCAGTGCCTCACCACCCTCACAGTAAAGAATTTATTCCAAATACCCGATCTAAATCTACCCTCTTTTAGTTCAAAGCCATTCCCCCTTGTCCTATTCCTACATGCCCCTGTGAAAAGTGATCAGCCAGTGAGGTGCATGCACAGAGCTGCTCCCGTTGCCCCATGGTGTGGGTGTCACCCCCCAGGCCATGGAGCCAAGGCTCCTGGGACAGGCCTGTCAAGGGCTGGGGCAGTGGGTGTTGGGGCTGTCCTCGTGCCTCTGAGCTCCTCTGTGTGTATGGAAATGAGCTTTGTATCATATAACAGAAAAAATGGAAACTTTCACCATTTTTTAGCCACTTAATATGTTGAAATTAGAGACAAATGGGTATTTTTCTCAGTCAAGTACAGTGAAGCATCCATTACAAAAATGATTTCTACCCAAAGTAGCCCTGAAAATGTATCTTGTGGTGTTTGTGTGTCAGTTATAGAGAGAGCAGCAAGATGGCAGCAGAGATGTAGTTTTGTCTTGTGTTTTCTTTTGAGGGCTGAGGTGCTTTCCTCAGACTCTTTATATATTGGGTCATGTACCAGCGAGCCATCAGGGATTAAAAATTAAGTAAATCCTTCAGAATGCCACTTCAAATGCTCAGGGTCTCTGAGAACCTGGCAAATATAGCTAGAATTCAGGTGTTTTCCACTAATCTTGTTCTTTCACTGCCTCTTGATCTTAAAATGACATTTCATTTATACGACTTCTGAAAGTTATTTCTTGATTTTTAAAAGCTGAGGATATTCAGCTCTGCTGGAATGAATTCTGTTTGTTCATGCTCAATATTTGCACAGCAAAAGCACTTTGCTAGAAGTGGTTTAAACAAAGCTTGTAGAAGAACCAGCATAAATTACCTTGTGGTGGGGGAATTTTAAATCCTTCTCCCAGTCTTAGTTTCAAGTGCCTGTAGATGCTTCTAACTGTGTGCAGTGCAAGTCATCAAATAATAGTAGCCAGGTCTGAATGGCTTGATCTTGGCTAAAATCTAAAATGTGACATTGCAATTCATGGTTTTGTAAATGAGATACACAAAAGTCAGACCTCTCGAGTCTCTCTTTGTTGAAGGATCCTCATGACATGTCTTAAAATGCATTTTTACTGTTTATTAAAATCTTATGTTAATATACTAAATGTTAAAAATGAGAAAAGATTATTGCTGCACTGCCTCGGGAATGCAGTCACAGAAGGAAAATCCATCAACTGATGGATGGTTCGATCATAGTCTGCTTATGCATTAATGAAATTGTTGTGCTGCTTTTAGTATCAGCACAGTTGGTCTTATTCTGACAACTTTTTAGGCCAGCTGGACCCGCTAAAATCTTTGTAGGAAGTGTGAAATGCAGAGAATTTTTTTCACCCAGTAGATTTTTAGACTTGCTGAATATGGTACTTGTAGCAACAAGAATAAGGAAGGATTGTTGTTCATTTCCATTCAGAAATCTATTTCTTCTGTTAATGAGTCATCTTCCAAGAAGCCCTTTTCTGTTTCAGAATACCTTTAGATTAAGACCTTAATATTTAAATTTCACAACCAAGAAAATAAGTTCAGGCTTTTGTAAAGAACTCTGCAGCTATATATCATCATGTGCTATGTTATTTACTATGCATTTGAATAAGAGCTCATCTCATTTTTTAAAATTCTGGGCTTTCAAGGGAAAGTTGGCAAGATCTGGGACGGGAGGGGAAAGGGACAATAAAAAGGTTATTTTCTTTCATATTTAGTAATTTAGAACCATAACTGATCATTTTTTCACAACTATTCAAATGATAAAATAGATGATCGTGGGTTAAATATGCATGTGGAAACAAATTTGCATCTCATGGGTAGAAATTTGATTGATCATGTTTCAAGTGTTACACAAAAAGTGAGAGAAGTTGTTTTTCTGCTAGATGAGGACAGACTCTCCAGGAGAAAAAGCATTGTGGACACGGTGTCTCTTCAGGTGGATATTCTGCCTGGCAACCACACAGAGGATAAGGTATGAAAATCCCAGAATATTTTAAAGCAGCATCTTGGAGGGAGAGGGGGAATGCAAGTGAAGTTTTTCCGGAAAGTCTACTATCTGATTATTCTAGCAATGTAAATACTTCAAGGGGTTGTTTTTTTAAGTTGTATTTGCAGAAATATGTTGTCAGAGACACTGGTGCTGGTCTTGCTGTATAAAAATGTTAAGTATTTTATCAATGTAGTTTTTTACAGATAGTGCTGCAGAATATGGAGTAGCAATACATTTACACACTGAACAACTGATGTTTTATGAGTAAATATTCTGAAATATTTTATCTGCCTTTTGAGACAACCAATAAATTCCTGTATCCCTTCATCATTTGAAGTATTTGAGAAACTTGTTCATCAACGTGGGGCTGAGAGATGTAAAACCAGTAGTGGTTAACCTGCCGTCTCTGAGAGGGACAGGTGAAGACTAGTCAGGCTTTGTGCACCACGGTGTTACAGTATCACTGTTCCCTTCCAGCAGAGTTTAGCACACAGCACTTTAAACTCACAGAAAGGATAAAGTAGTAACAAAAAGTTCATATGGAGGGTGCAGGAGCTGATGCTAATTATCCCTTAGGAAGACTGCCTTATAATTAAAATTATCACACATCTTCTGACACTTCATTTGAAGTATTTCTTAAAATAAATTTCTACTAAATCTTGTTTCAAGGTTCTGCTTATTTTTATTAACCAGATTTCTGCTGGCTGCAGTGGAGATTAGCTGTTGAAATTGAGGTGTTTGTACCTCAGATGAAGTACAGATGATTCTTACCTTTGGCATCTTCAAGCACAAATTGCCTAAAGACATGAGGCAGAATATGTGGACTCAGTCAAGCTGAGTGCAAAGGAGCAAGCTTCATTTTAGACAGAAGTGATCTATGTTTTTCATGATTATTATTATTATTATTTATTTCTGCTTTGTGCTGATGGTACCTCAGATGATATTTTGTGTTCACTTTTGTGTTTTAGCAAGGATACAGATAAAAGTTCAGGAGAAAGAAGAAAACAAGTGTTTGAAAAATAAGGGAGACAATCAGATCTCTAGCTTTCTGAAGAAAGTAAATAGTCCTTGCAGGATTGGGGGTGTTTGACATTAGTATTCATTTTAAGATTGTTTATTATATGTGGTTATATATGATTGAACAACTCTCTTGAAAGTAGAATTAAATGAATGAAGTTTCCACTTCAGATTTCAAGTTATTATGCTGATATTATATCAAGCATTGATATACAGACATTTTTTGAAGTGGTTGTAGTGGTTGTAGATAAATCAAAACCTTTTTATGGGTTCTCAGTTCAATGTGGTCTTAATGTGGTCCAGTGTCTCGGATAATGAATTACTGTTTTACCTCTTAAAAAGAAGAATTTTATTAATCAGAAACACAGATAGCAAAGTATTTCCCCCTTGCTTATGATGTTTGTTTACAAAGCAAAGGAAGAACCAGTATTTTCCGATTTGCTGACTGCACCTTTATAGCTATATATGAAATCTGGTTCTCTTGCTTTGTAGATTAGTAAGTATAACAATCCATAACTGTCAGCAGAACTAAACTGCAAAAAAAAAGGACCATAAAGCTTTATGATTGAGAGGATTACGTACCTAATTAATGGAAATTCTAGAATTAAAGATTAATTCACCAAATGTGAATTGTATAAAAGGTGATTATTTCAGAACCTGAATACCCTTGATCTCTAGCCATATCCACAAATATTTGACACAAAGGGTGTTTCACTGTTTATTAATTAATTTTTTATATATTCAGACATAGAGAATACAGTGCTCATGTAGTAAAATCATAGAGAAGTGTAATTTACAGCTTCATCTCCTGAAATAACACTTAAGTAAAAAGGAAACAGCTACTTCTGCTGGCTTTTCCCTCTACAATAGCTCAAGCCAATAAATTAAAAAATCGAGAGAATTCAGAGTCTTCTGAATTGAATGAAGTAACTTTTTGCTACCTTACAGATCTCACCTTAAATCATATTAGACCATTCTAAACAATTAGTGTTTATAAGGAAAAATAAAAGTGCTGCCTATTTATATGTTTGAAGGATTGAAGTGAGGCGGTTCAAGCCAAGGAACCATGTTATATTCAGGTGAACACTGTTCTACCATTTAAGCATTATCCCCTAATATCATCACAGTGGTTTCACTGTAAATATATTTACTGGTATAGAAACTCTACAGAAGCTTCAGGTCTGTAATGAATTGAAACACGAGGATCCACGAACTGGAGCTCTGCAGAGAAATATTTGTGCATCTTTGGTAATTTTGCAGTCCCAAGCAGTTCCTAATGAAGTACATCTGCAGCAAATGGATATTCATATCACTAGATGAACAGATTTTCTCAGTGCATCAGACATAGCTTGTTATGAAGAGCCCTTTAACTCCCGTGTTTATGACATAAGCACCAAATTATTTGGAGCCCATAATGGTACAAAGCTAGACTAAAGCAATAACCATTTTCCGCTCTTCACTCCACTGCCATCTCTTATTTTAGCATCACATTGCTGGTAACTCAACAAGTCTCAGGAAGCAGTTGCTGTTATTCACATCAGTTGTTTAAGAACCCAGTACTAACACTTTACAGTATAGAAACACTACAGCCTATTCCTTACCCAAAGTGTTCTGCCAAAATTCAAGTCCTTTCCCAAAGTATAGTTGCTATAGAGCATCTTGACTAGAATATGGAAAGTTTTCCTTCACGTCATTTGATAAAAATTTCCTCACTATTTGAAGTGGCTTTAAAAATGTGAATTAGTGTTCTGTTGTCTGTCACAGAAATTCCAGATAATGCTATTAGAGACTTGTAAGGCAGAAAAGCCCTGGCCGTTTTCGCCTTCTGTATTTTTCACATTCCTTATTTTTTTGAAGCTTGTATGTTATATGTGATGATTAAGGGTTTTGTTTCTTTGTGTTTAGATTGATAATACTGAAGAAATCACCTTTGAAGCTTTGAAGAAAGCCATTGGTAAGATTTATTACAGTTGTGTTTATGCAGAATAGTTCTCAATTACTATGGAATTGCTAGAGAAAAAGAAGTGGCCAGAATAACATAATGAAAAAATTACATTTGTTTCTCTTCAACTAGTAAATTTGTTTAAAACTTCAGTTATTTATTTCTAAATTTCTGAAATGATACTTTGATAATGTTAGTGAATTCATTTTCTGAAGTTAATGGGACTGAATGAAAAGCATCTGGAAATGCCTGTCATCTGTTAAATTTGCCTTACAGGCCAAGCCATAAATAACATGAGTTTTGCAAGCTGTATTGAATGATTATTTATAAAGCAACTTAAATATATTTTATGTAGTAAGATTTTAAGGTCTTCAATGCATTCAGAAAACAGATTGTAAGGTACACATTGTGGACTTCAAAAAACACTCAGATTTTTTAAAAGAACATTTTTGTAACAAGTGACCCAGCTACAAGAACACAGAATTACTCCGATTCCTTATTTCATATTACTATAAGTAATTACTAATTATGCTGTCTAGTCCACCAAAATCCTGTTCAAAATATGGATTAAACATTGGCATTTTAAACAATAGACACTGACGTTTTAAACAATAATTTAATCTGTCAGTCTTCCAAATGTGCCTAATCCCCGAGGTACTTAAATTCATTAGATGGTGGAAAGCTCCAGCTGCTTGTAAGTTCACTCAGCCTATGGAGGTTGAACTAACTTTTCCCAAATTGTAATAGAAAATTCTGGCCACTTGTCAGCATGATGCTGGGAAGCAGGATGCTTCCTTCTTCTGAGTCTGAACCTGCGTGCACCCAAGTGCAATCTTGAGTCCAGGCAATAAAGCAAAAGGGAGTCTAGATGTACTCATAATTAAAGCACATAGTAAGAAAGGGGCAAAACTGGGTCTTCAAACCAGCTCCCTGAAATTTTATCTGCATTTCGCTTTAGAGGCAATGCCAGATGACACCTTACTTGAGAATGGGTGCATCACTTCAAGCACAGTGCTTTTTCTGCAGCACACATATATGAACGTTTATATCACTTATACTTGATAGGCAAAGATTGCAGTTGTCTCTATTTTTTTTATTATTCTTTTAAGATAACAATGGACTTGAAGAACAGGAAAAGGAAAAAAGGCGTCTTGTGATTGAAAAGTTCCAAAAGGCACCATTTGAAGAAATCGCAGCCCAGTGTGAAACCAAAGTGAGTTTCTGGAAAATGTTATACAGCACTGAAGAAATTGATGTAGGCATTAATGGGGATGTGCTGGCTGCAGGTGATTTATGTTGTGTAACTGCTGCTGTTACTTCTAAAGAAGTTCAGTTCTTTGTTTTGTCTCCACTGTTGTCAATGTTGGGAGATTCCAGTAATTTAAAGCATGGTTGTTCCTAGACCATTTGGAAAGGAATGGATATCTCATATACTCTCCACTCTAATGCTTTCCTTGCTATCTTTGAAATCCACATTCACAGTCCATTCCTATTTCATTCTGGGATAACTGGAGGAGTATTTACCATATTATATATTTTGAACAACTAAATGCATTTCAGGTTTGCTAAACTCCTGTCTGCAACAGCAGAATTTGCTATATAATTCCTGGCACTCCAGGACAGGCTCACTCAATCTCAAATGCATCTTCAAGGCTCAGAATCCTTTCAGCAGTGAGAAAATGGGACAGGAATTGCTGCCTAGATTTGCATCTGGCAATGCAGAACACATTCACTGAGTATGGCCTGGCACATTCATTGGAGCTCAGTTCAATTATATAGGAGTTAATAATTCAATTTTACTTTTTCTTCCCTAGGCAAACTTGCTTCATGACAGACTTGCACAGATACTGGAACTCACCATTCGGTAAGTCTTTATGCAGGAAGAGTGTAATGAGTGAAAAATGAGTTATAAAACAATTGTGGCTACTTTCAGTTGGTTATGTCATAGTGTTCTTAAACACATGTAATAGGGAGAAAATAATGGGCTTAACTGTATGCTGTGGTTGAACCCTGGTAGGCATTTCAGCCTCACATAACCACTGGCTTACCCCTCCTCAGTGGGATGAGAGAGTGAATTAGAAGCATAAAAGTGGGAAAAACCATGGGTTGAGATAAGAAGAACTTAATAGGTAAAGCGAAAGTCCCACATGCCAGCAAAGCAAAATAAGAAATTCCTTCATTTCCCATGGGTGGGCAGGTGTTTATCCATCTCCAGGAAATCAGGGCTTGTTGGGAAGACAAATGCCACACTCTGAATGTTTTTCCTATCCTACTTCTTACCTTAAAGCTTTTACTGGTGAGCATGACACTACATGGTCTGGGATATCCCATGGGTCAGTTGGGGTCATCTGTCCCATCTGTGTCTCCTCCCAACTCCTTGCCCACTTCCAGCCCTCACGCTGGCACAGCAGCGTGAGAAGCAAAAAATGCCTTGATTCTGTGTAAGCTCTGCTCAGCAATAACAAAAACATCCCTGTTCCCAGCACAAATCTAAAACACAGTCCCAGACCAGCTAATGTAAAAAAAATTAACTTAGTCCCAGCCAAAAACAGTACACTGAAAAAGAGTACTCTTCATCACTTTGATTTTCTTTCTATTTTGAATCTTTTTGATAGTGAAGACTCTCCAGAAACCATCTCACAGTGTATCACAGTCTTACAGTATTTCTGTGTCTATCAGTAGTGTTGCAGAATGCTGTTGTTTTCCCATTGCTGCATCTGTTTGAGAATGTAATTAGATACTGAGCACCCGAAATAGTACATGGCATTATTACAGAGCTGTGCACATCCATTGTTCAGAATAAATAGTATTTATTAGCAATAAAATGCATTTGGATAGTTTTGTAACATCAGTGAAATTGATGATATAGACGAGAATACAAAAATCCTCGGGGCATGGTAATTTCATTAGAATTTCAGGACGAGGATAAAATACTGTTGGTTGGGGGTGGGGGGATAGTTTACTCTTGTTTCTCGGCTATTAGTGTGTAAAATTATGACAAAGCAATCCATATAATTATAAATTACATATATTGATTGTGCTTCTCACACAGTCCTCCGCCTAGCCCCTCAGGAACGATGACCATTACTGCTGGACATGCTCATTACCATTCTGTTCCAGTCTATGAGATGAAGTTTCCAGATCTTTGTGTGTATTAAGTGTCTTCTGAAGTCTGCTGGACATTATTTAGAATAGAGTACAATAGAAAGAACAAGATGAGTTTTCAAATTTTATTGTTTACTGTATCTAAACTAAGTAATATAATTATGGACATGAGCCAAATACAGATCACTTTAGCCAAATTCATGAGATTGTCTTGAATTGTTTTCTTCTGTAATATATTGTAAGGTTTTTCATAGATCATGTTGATTCCTTTCCATATTTGAGTACGTGTAAAAGTCAGATATAAAACTTGTCTTACCACACAGGTGAATATTTCAGTTACTCTAGGAATTTGTGTTGCTGCAAATTCCTTCAATTGGAGATGCTGTAACTGAAGAACCTGTTAAATCTTTTTTTTTTTCCCTTTTTTTTGGTTGGTTGGGGTTTTTTCTCATCTCCACCTCAATTCTATGTCTAACTAGAATGCTTTTGCCTTGCTTCATCTCATTAAATGTAACCAGTGGAGGACTACCTTAGCTCCCTTTTGTTCATACTGTCATAGCTAGTCAACTTGTTTGGTTTGAAATATATGGAAAAAAAACAATACCTTACATGTGTTCAAGTACAATGAATGAATTAATGGACACTTGTTAAGTATTTTTTTGATGCATCACATAACATGCTTTTTAGATAGACATGCCCAGTATATGTCCTGTGTTTCTTGCTAAAAGTTTAATGCTTTGCATAAGAGAGGAGAAATCTCCTCTCAAAGCAAGAAATTGTGCAATATTTTTCATGTCTTAAGGTGTATGGTTTACAGACTGTACTTTTGAAAACATAGTAGTATCTTACTGTCTGCTTTAGTATAAATACCTGAGAGATATATTTAGTATAGCAGAAAATAAACTGAGGGCATTTTAAATAATAATTAATGAAATTATAAATATATTCTACGAGGCATTTCTCTGTAGTTTATTACAGCTTTTTTAGTGATATTTTAGAAATTGAAAGAAAACTAAATGAAACCATTTAAAGATCAAGAATTTATTACATATATTTTCAAGCAAAAGCATTTTTAGAGATGCATCTCTGTGTTTGTTTTTGTTTCATTTCTCAAAACTTTAAGGTAACTTTCATAGGTTTATGTATCTGAGCGCACTATTCAAATGTAAATAAAGTAAAAGTGATACAGGAAATCACTGACATTTGATGATAATTGCCAAGGCTGTCTTTATGACTCACTAAATTCTGCAGGCAAAAAAGAAAAACAGCATTCATTGACGCCATGCATATTAAGTTTGAAGTCCCTTAATCTCTCTGAATCTGACTGAAGCAGCACAAACATGAATGAATGCTCTCAAAAATCTGTAATAAATGTAGACATTTAATTTAGCCAGTGGTTTGCATGAACAGTGATCAGGCCGTGAACAAAGTGATCTAACTTCAGTTAGCTCTGCTTTGAGCAGGAGCTTGGTTTAGATGACTTTCAGAAGTCCCAACCTAATTAATCTTTGATTGCATAACTCTACCATCTGAAGGGTTATCAGCCCAGCTAATTTGCTGACTGTTGGAAGCATTTGCAAACCCACTGTAAGAAGGATTTTAAGTTTTTTGAACTGTAGTTCAGTATTCTGCTGGACTACTTTTAAAATCCTGATGTGACATAACATCAGACAAATATCAGCTACTTAAACCTATGAGATGACATGCTGAGACTTTCAGAAGGCATTCACAAAGCTCAAAAGGTAATTGAGACCTTCTTTTCAGTTTAACAGTGCAATCACAGCTGTTAGTGGATGACGAAACAGCCCCTTATCTACAGCATTCCGTTGCGATTTTTACTGCTGCAGCGTATCAGCCTGATCAGACCACAGTCTACACATAAATAGGACTCTAGCCTTTAGTTTTCACTTTTTTTTTTTTTTTTTTAAGGTAAGAATAATAGCTTTTTGGCCTATATAAAGAATGTAATCTTTTAAACAGTAAATCTAACCTAGGGATACAATGTAAAACACTTCTCCACGCTGTCATTTTTTAAGAATATCACTCTGCACTTTTGTACAAAAAGAAAATAAGGAGTCTAAGTAATAAAGAACGTACTTCTGTTTGCACTCTTGCAGTATGAAGACTATGCTGTAAATACAGGATTGTTTCTGTGATTGAATTCTGTTGCATGAATGCTGCATGTGAAAATAACTAGATTCAGCATTTCATTTTCTGTTCTTTTTATGAAGTATTTTTCATTTATGCTAATGGCAGGTTTCCATGTTTCCAGTGTTCAAATGAGCTTTGTTTGGTAAATGCAGGTGTTGTGCAGGTTTTGTGCAGGGAATGAAGAGCTTGTAACACTCTGCGTGTTCACATGATATTTAATTTCTTCCTTTCTGGAAATTCAGGGAGTCTGTAAGTTGGTAATTGGTTCACTTTGGCCTTTCTAGACATATGGGAGACGGGAGAGACTGTAAAATGTATTGTTTTGGTAGCTGTTGTTATATGTAGCTAATGAATGAAACCAAAAGAATTAAGAATGCTGTTTGTTGTACAGTATGAAGCTGCTATGTTTCACTTCTCTCTTTATGTTCTTCAGACAAGTTGCAGAGCTTTAAAAGCTCCTTATGCAAACTGGTCCTGTTTTATCTGCAACATTTTGTGCACTGTCATAATGGTTATAAATTGGTACCCAGCTGTTTAAGTGTATTCCAGTGCTTTGGGTTCTCTTTCCCATTATGTCATTTTGAAAAAAATATAGCTTTTGTAGTGAGTCACTTTAAGGTAAATTAAATCTGTGGTAATTTCAAAAGATAGAAATAGCCTATTGTCCAAAATCAGAGTAGGGCTAATTTGTCTGTTGTTCTGATGGTCATATATTCTGTACTGTATGTAATGAACCAGTTTCAATAAATGTAAGAACACACTGTGCAATCTATATTTAAGCAATAAAATAAACCAAAATTTCAAAGTAATCTTCTCTAAGGTGTGTCAGTTTATTTTTACTGCTCACAGTTAAGATGTCAATGACATCATTTTTTAGCATTTAAAATAGAGCTCATTTTACACACTATTTTACTTGGTTTTGCAAATGTTACAGCTCTGCAGCATTATTAAAATACTACATTTATTTACTATTAAACCATTGCTGTTACTAAGACCACCAGAATTTGAGAGTGCAGCGATACAAAAATAACTTCCTAATAGCAAATAAGCTTCAAGATAAATAACCCGTGCTTTTCAGGCCTGCTTTGCTGCTTAAAAAACCTATTGGGTTTATAGTGTCAATTCTAGTCACTTGATACAATTGTGTGAGTGTTCTGCCCCTTGTTTTGGGGGTATGGTCATAAAATAAATCAGGCTGGAAGGAACCCAGAGTCTTCCGAAGTGATCAGTGACTCGGAGTTTACCTGGTGCTATTCCACCTTCTCCTTGAGCCCTGTCCCTACACAGAGTCTGGGAGACCTTGCTGATGGGAAGGCACAGCAGACGTGGTTCAGTCTCTGTGCTAAGAGGTTTTCAAAACCCAACTGCATGCAGCCTTGAGGTACCTGGTGTGCCCTCTTAATTGACCCTGTTTTTAGCAGAAACTGTATCACCTCTGAGGTCCCTTTGAGTGCCTCAGCTGTGTGTGTCTGCTCTCCTAAACCACCCACTCCTTCAGCTGGCGTCCCACATTTTGGAACAGGCTGCCCAGGGAAGCAGTGGAGTCACCATCCCTGGAGGTGTCTCTAAACTGGAGAGACATGGATTTGAGTGATGGCCCACTTCATTGGATAAGGAATTGACTGGATGGTTGCATTCATGACTCAATGTCCAGGTGGAGACCAGTAACGAGTGGCATCCTCAGGTGTTGGTATTGGGACTGACACTTCTTAACCTCTTTGTCAGTGACATGGACAGTAAGGTTTGAGTGCACCCTCAACTAGGTTTCAGCCAGCTGTGCCCAAAATCTGTGAAAAATATGGTGTAAAGTGACTGTGAGAATGGGAGGAGAAAGAAGAAAGCTATGCTCAATGTCTCGATCTGCTTGACATTTTTCTATTATTTTAGCACTGATCTCTGAGAATCAATAAATATAGCTAATCATAGCTAGATTATTTAAGACTTCTCTTTATCCACACAATTCATGTGATAGTAATTATGGCACAACTTGGGTGTTAAATTGTATCTGAAGTAAAGAGATACTGGAAAAAGAAGCCCAAAGGAATTAAAGACAACATTGCCTGAATAACAGCATATTTATATTGTAATTTCTCTGTTACTTGATCAATTCAGATGATCCATCCCTATCTCTGCAGTCAGAAAATTTAGTGTTGAGTATGTGCATGTGTTATTTGTATAACCATGAAATTTATACTTGTTTCTAATAATTAGCAGAAAGGAATGAGGTTTTATTTTAAGGTGCAGTGTTCAGAGCAGCAGTACTGCTCTCATCAGAGAAATAAGCTGGTGTTTTAATTGCTCAGCAGTGCACTTCATTCACTTGTTTAAAGGCCAGTTTTTCCCATTTCCCATTTCAGCTCATTATCTCACTTTTTCATTGCCATCTTTATTTATAAATGCTGTGAAATATAAAATAATTTTTCATCCCTAAGATAAAAGGCTGATGAAAGTTCCAGTGTAATGCAGATCTCATCCTCAGCATAGGGCAAAAATGGGCATTTTGCAGTTGTAGCGTTTTGCTTCAGTACTGAGATGTCCTCTTTCTTTACAGCATAAGGGAGGACTTAATTAAAATCTTGTCTGCAGATAAAATTTCTCACATCACTTAGCTATCCTCTCTACCTTCCCTTAAAATATGTCCTTTTATTCTGTTGTGTCTTTTCAGTAGTACTGGTGGTGTAGCCACTGGGATCCAGTGGAATTCACATGACTAAACACCTCTGGGGGTTTATTTTGGGAGTGTGTGTGGTGGTTTTTTTGCTTTTGTGTTTTGGTTTTTTGGGGATTTTTTGCACTGCACTAATCCTTTGCAGTTTGAATGTAGGAAAAATGCTGAGAGGGGAATAGCACCAGCCAGAGGTTTATACCATATAAACTGCTCATCCAAGAACATTCACTGGTGTTTTCACCTGCAGTTCTCACACCATTCAGTTTGCACAGATCAGATGCTGGGGTTTAGGTAACTGCTGCATCTGGAAAAACACAGGTAGCATCTCTGTATCCAGCATGACGATACTGTCATTGGTCTTTAATGAAAACTTTGGTGATAAAGTTCAGCCCTGTAGAACGAGGTGATAGAGAAGAAATCCAGACCTTTCAGAGCAGCTGAATCCATGTGAAGTTTGCAGCAAAATTTTTGTTCTAAGAAATGTTACTGAGTCATAGAATCATAGAATGGTTTGGGTTGGAAGGGACCTTTAAAGACTTGTCACAGCATGATACTACCCCTCTCTCCCTTCAAGTCTGTTTTAAAGCTTGTCAGCCCTGATAGCTCATGAACAAAAACCCTCTTTCCCCTGTGAGAAAGGTGAATCCCATCTGACACCAGCAGGCCTGGTGCTATTACCAGAAAACCCCAAAATTCTGGCGGTGACACCAGCCATGGAGACAGATATTAATAGACTGGGTCTGTCTGTTTCTGGAAGGATAGTGCTAAAAATTACCTGTGCTCCACATTCCGTGACCAACCATTCCAAGGTGCTGAATTCTCTTGATCACCCTTGGATTACACATCATGACTTCATCGCCCCCCACATGGAAGAACAGTGATGAGTAATAGTCCAAGGGTCATACCAACCTGGGAAGTTTCCTAGTGATGTCCTTAACTTGGGCCCCAGGGAGGCAAGAAACTTCCCTAAGAGAAGGGTCTGTCCAGCATTTTGGACCTTCTCTTCCCCTCAGAAGTGAGTCACACACAGGAATGGAAAAAGGAGCTCATTTTCATGTAATTACTTTAGCTTTCCTTCTGGGTGTTTCCTGCTAAGCTCAGTAAAGGAAGAATGTCTGCAAAAGGAGTTGCAGTAGTTGCAGATTGGTTTAATTAAAAACCTGAAATACTTAGCCACCATCAGTGAGATCCAGTCTGAACCAAGCACACAGTTAACAAAAATCAGTCTGTGATCAGAACAGGTTTTACATAAAAATCAAGTGAAATTATACAGAACACTGTCAAATAATTATTTGGTGTTGTATCTGACCTAGATAGATGGTCCGTAGTGCTGACCTCCCTACAGTAATGAGTTAATACAGCCTAACTCTAATACCTAGTCTATGATTACATCATCTGTGTGCTGTGTAAGGCAGTCTGTAGAGGGTAAGGAGGAGTAAGGTACATGGTGGCTGACTGCAAAAGGCTCTGTGCTGCTTCCCAAGCCCATGAAGGTGGCTGGTTATCTGCCTCCACGTCCCACAGTTCTGGAGTTCCCAACGGAATGGTGTGTCCCTCTCTTTGCTCTTCTAAATTGTCTCCGCAGTGGACCCTCCTCTTCACTGCTCTCCTCGGAGCTGGAAACACCTGTGCCTGTTTCTGTGCCTATTGGGGGCCTTTCATAAGGGTCACTTTGACAGGAGGCTTTCTCCTCCCGGCACTCCTGCCCATGTGGAAGCTTCAGGCTCTCATTGAAGAAGGCAGAGGCCATGCACTCGGCCGCCGCCGTG